AAAGGCTGCATTTATCACCATCTGAGACTCAGTGGCCTCTGGAGCTATTATCATATAAACTCTAGAGACCTCGCACAGTCTTTCATAGAACTCAGAGGGTGGTTTGGTTTCCCTTTGAATCACTTTGGAGGGTTCTGCCATAGTCATAGGTTTTCGGGCCCCCCTCACGAGGCCTTGTGAAATACTCATCTGCTATCTCTCCAGGAGGCCCCTCCCTTCCTCTGTGTCACAGCCCCAGTCGGGCCTCTCATCGGGGCGGCTAGTTCTTCCCACCGCTGAGGGCTTGCAGTGCCTTCAGGAGCCATTTCTCTGAACCATTTTCTGGCCTCAGTTACGATCCTGTGTCTTCCCTCAGCGCTGAAAAGGGAGACTGGTAGTTGGATTATGTCATCCCATGTAGGGCGGTGGGTTCAGAAAGTAGTCTCCATTAGCCTAATCATGACTGGTGGCCCCTCTGAGTGTGGTGAAGCGTGTCTCTGCCAGTTTAATACATCCGTAGAGGAAAATGGCTGGTAATAATAGGCTACAGGGGGCTGATGGTAGTGCCCACATGCGTCCTGAACTGGAGGCTATTATAGCTCTCTGAGGGACATCTGTAGTGGGGTTCTTTCCCCCTGCTCTTTGGCAGAGCGCAACCTCTGTCTAATTGCTGTGATTTCTTCCCCCTTCCCATCAGTACTCACCGGGAGAGGTGGATACAATCTAGGAGGTCCAGCTGAGGTGGAATCCTAGGGGCACTGACCAGAGGCCTCCATTGCTGGGATCAGAGCCTGCCAAAAGGGCGGCTCTACGATCTCTGGGAGAGCTGGCAGAGGAGCAGCAGCTGCTGCAGGAACTTCACCTGGCCCTGGATCGGGCATTAAGGTGGCCTCTGGTCCTAGTGGAGCACTGGGCTTCAGGCGCGTCATTATCCAGTATGAGGGAGGGGGCAGGTCATCCCCGTCCAAATCCTGTAGAACTTCTTTTTTTATCATCAGTCAATTTTTGTGCCATTAATATTTCCCCCTTTCCCTTCTGGATACAGAAACTTGTCCAAGTAGGAGGGTCTTGAGCTAATCCTAGCCATGAGTCAATATATAGATATTGATCCAGGTGTCCCGGCTCTCCTATTGTATAGACTGCTTCCACTATTTTTAAGTTCATGGTGTCCTCTGGTGGCCATCCTACTCCCATAGGGGGCCATTCGACCTCACAGAGTAGGTGGAGGCGTCATCTTCACCCCATAGTCTCCTCCAAATCCCTTCTTTAAATTTTTAATCCTGCACTCCAATACAGTTGCCTTAGATTCATTTCTTCCCATGTTGCTTACCTTCTCAGACCATCTTCTACTTTTCCTTTTTGTTCTGTCTACAAAGTTCTTGGTACCATATGTACTTCTGATATTTCCACTCAATGAAACACTTAAATTGCCATTGGGGTTTCCTAATTGAGGTGAGAGGAGCCTTACCTGCCAGATCTCAGAGGGAGAAGGGGGATCAGCGTGTCTTCACCTGCCGATCAGCACTGCCGAACCAGAACACCATGTGGTCCAAAACTGTCTCTCCCTTAATTTTTAAAGTCCATTCTGTCTTGGTGGACTTGATCAGGTGCAGATGAAAACACAGATGGGTTAAATATCCCACATCCCAGGCTGTCTCCAGAAAAGCCAATTCATACTCACTTATGTGTCCCCCTCCTTCTAGCCTGACAATTCCGAGGGGTTCAAGAATTTCACAGCAGATGGGACACCTCCTTGGGGAGGGCAGAATATGAACACACAAAGACCAAATTTCTTCTCCTAACAATCTCCTGGTGATTTCTTGATAATAATTTTCCCCAGGACAGCATGGACACTCCCTCCTAAATGACATTCACAAATTTCCTTCCTAAGCCCTAACACGCTCATCAACCTGCATACCAAGCAATCGCTGCCACCTGCCTATTCCAGGCTCCTGTGAGTCTGTGCCACTTCTAGTCCCTCCCAGGGGGGTGACCAGGCTCCCTCTTCCACCCTGCTGGGTGGGTTCCTCCTCACCTGAGTGCTCAGTTCCCCTGCTGCTGTCCACTACCTGCTAAAGTGAAAGGTCCAGGCGTTGAGAAGCAGAATCCTTCCAGAAGGGCGAGGCGCCCCCCCCCCCCCCCCGCAGAAGATTCAAGCTGTAAGGCCTCGGAGTAGTCCCAAATGGGACTTGTCTCCTCAAAGTGAGGAGTTTCCCAGTCAATGCACCAAATATTGTAGCCATGAATTCTGGGAAACAAACTCCCTGAGAAGGGCAATGCAGATAGTGGAGTGCAGGTTACTACACCTGCATGCCCAAGGCAGAGTCTCCTCTTAGCCAAGGACCCCAACTAGTTTTTATGAAAACCTTATACACCCTAAGTGTATGTGCCCAAACCCACCTCCCCAAATTCCCTGAAACTAGTCTGAACAAAGGAAAAGAAAGATACAGTCAAAGTTAACCCAAGATTCATATGCCATAGGCCTAGGTAGTTAACAGTGAACAATTATCAATAGGCCTGTGGTCATACCCCAATAAGCATAATAGAATGTATGATTCTATTTGGTTACACAGATAATTAGGGTATTCTTTTAGGCAAGGGAGAGTCTAGGTAGAGTCTAGGTATGAGCCCTGGGGTTCTTCCTTCCGGGGCCCTTGTTTTCCAGTTGGTATGTTGTTTCCATAGATACTGGGCATATAGCTCAAAGTCCACTGTCGAGTTCAAGATGGAGTCCTGCTTTCAAGATGGGGCCTGTTCTGTCTGTTTCCTCCTTCAATCACACCATCATGATTATCTGGGTCATGAAGATCTTTTTTGTATAGTTCTTCTGTGTATTCTTGCCAGCTTTTCTTAATATCTTCTACTTCTGTTAGGTCCATACCACTTCTGTCCTTTATTGTGCCCATCTTTGCATGAAATATTCCCTTGGTAGAGCTCTAGTCTTTCCCATTCTATTGTTTTTCTCTATTTCTTTGCATCGATCACTGAGGAAGGCTTTCTTATCTCTCCTTGCTATTCTTTGAAACTGTGCATTAACATGGGTATATCTTTCCTTTTCTTGTTTGCCTTTCGCTTCTCTTCTTTTCACAGCTATTTGAAAGGCCTCTTTAGACAACCATTTTGCCTTTTTGCATTTCTTTTTCTTGGGGATGGTCTTGATCCCTGCCTCCTGTACAATGTCAAGAACCTCCAACCACAGTTCTTCAGGCACTCTATCAGACCCAATCCCTTGAATCTGTTTGTCACTTCCACTGTATAATCCTAAGGGATTTGATTTAGGTCATACCTGAATGGTCTAGTAGTTTTACCAAGTTTCTTCAATTTAAGTCTCAATTTGGACCCAGAATGGTGTACAAATCCTTTCTTTGTCCTGTGATCCTTTGGGAGCCAGTTCAGTTTAGTTGCTCAGTCATGTCCAACTTTTTGTGACCCCATGGACTGCAGCACACCAGGCTTCCCTGTCCAGCACCAAATCCCAGAGTTTGCTCAAGCTCATGTCCATCGAATGCCGTCCAACCATTTCATCCTCTGTCGTCCCCTTCTCCTTTCCCAGCATCAGGGTCTTTTCCCAGGAGTCAGTTCTTCTCATCAGTTCTTCTTCAGGTTTATGAAAATGAAGGTGAAAGTGAAGTAGTGTCAGACTCTTTGCGACCCCGTGGATTGTAGCCTACCAGGCTCCTCTGTCCATGGGATTCTCCAGGAAAGACTACTGGAGTGGGTTGCCATTTCCTTCTCCAGGGGATCTTCCCGGGTCTCCCGCATTGGAGGCAGACGCTTGAACCTCTGAGCCATCTGAGCCACCAGGGAAGCCCTTCAGGTTTGTAGGCTTGTCCAAACCCCTTCACTCTAAGCACTACAAGTGAGCTTCCATGAGCTGCTCCCAGGTCTGGGGGAGGGGAGCATGTGATCCTTTTAGCCAAACTTTTCTTCTCAGAAACAAAAAAAGGGTTAGCATTGCGTTCTCTTTCACCTTCTTTCCGGTAAAAATTACATCTGGTTTTATTTATTTAGTAATAACCTACTTGGCAGGGGAAAAGTGCTGGCGGGGCTCGCTAACCTTATTTCTCGCCGGGTTGAAGGGCCACAGAGAAGGCAGTTTGACAAACTGCCTCAGAGTCTGGCGAGGACCCTGTGTGCCTCTCCTCGGCCGCGCCCACTCCTTTCGGCCAATTGCCCCCGCGGGGAGACCACTATTTGAATATCCCCGCCCGCGGCGGGACACCATCCTGCGATTGGCCCGCCGCGCCCCGCCCCGCGCCCTTATGAACCCTGGAGCGCCGCTCAAGGTTCGCAGTACGGCAGCCGGAACATCATGGATCTGAGACTCGCGGGGCGCCGGGCGCTCGTCACGGGGGCGGGCAAAGGTGGGCCTGGGGAGGTGGCCGGGAGCGGGAAAAGGTGGCGAGGGATGGGCATCCTCACTCCTCCGTGCTCCTCGCAGGCATCGGTCGCAGTATTGTCAAGGCGCTACACGCGGCGGGCGCGGGAGTGGTGGCCGTGAGCCGAACCCAGGCCGACCTGGACAGCCTGGTCCGCGAGGTAGGCGCTGCCCTGTCCCAGCCCAGGGGGCAGCAGCGGGGGAGCTGAGGGCGGCCAAGGAGGGACACTCGGGAGCTGGGCGCTGGCGCTTACCAAGGACTCTTAGCACCCCCGCCCCTCGCCGGACGCGCGGAAGAACGATGATTCTTCCCGGACTTAGGAGGAGGCAGAAATGGCTGCTTTGCTGGGCCAGAGGCGCTCGGGCGCTGGGAGGAAGTAGACTGGCTGGAGGCGGGGCTAGATCCCTGATCCTGAAGCCCCTAGTTGAGTTGCCCAAAGGACAAGTTAACCCTCCCCCGACAGCATCCTGGGAGACCCAAAAGGCGACTGGTTCCCCAGGGACTCCTAACCCCCTATCCCTGTGAGACTGAAAGGTCACAAAAACACAGTCCCTCTCACTTGAATGGGAGAGGCCCAGCTGTACCCTTTCCAGGGCATGGAGCCTCTGGTAGATGTGCCCTCTTACCACATAATATACACAGTGTCCCGGGGTGGAGACCGTGTGCGTGGACCTGGCTGACTGGGAGGCCACGGAGCAGGCACTGGGAGGTGTTGGCCCTGTGGACCTGCTGGTGAACAATGCAGCTGTGGCGTTTTTGCAGCCCTTCCTGGAGGTCACCAAGGAGGCATATGACATGTAAGGCAGGGTGGGGTGGAGGAACACCGTTGGGGAAGGGCTGTCTCCGGCTGCAGCAGCCTCAGTCCCTGACCAGGGTCTGTCCATCTGCCTCCAGGTCTTTCAATGTGAACGTTCGGGCGGTCATCCAGGTGTCTCAGGTGCGCTGGCTTCAGGGCAGGACTGGGAACTGCTGGGTGATGCCAGCCCTGCCTCATCCTTCTTCTGCGATTTCAGATTGTGGCCCGAGGCCTGATAGCTCGGGGAGCCCCAGGGGTCATCGTGAATGTTTCTAGCCAGGCCTCCCAACGGGGACTGACTAGCCACAGTGTCTACTGTGAGTGAGGCCCGGCTGTGCCCTGCCCTGACTCCCACCACCCCCCCAAAACCCCCCATCTGAGCAGGCAGCTCAGGCTCCACACATGCTGTCCATCCTCACAGGCTCCACCAAGGGTGCCTTGGACATACTGACCAAAGTGATGGCGGTGGAGCTCGGGCCACACAAGGTGAGCCCCAGTGGGATGCCTCCCATCCCCCAGTCCATGTGCTCAGAGAGCCTCAGCCCATCCAGTTGACCCCCTACCTGTGCCAGTGCAGATCCGTGTGAATGCAGTCAACCCCACGGTGGTGATGACACCCATGGGCCAGGCCTCCTGGAGTGACCCTCAGAAGGCCAAGGCCATGCTGGACCGCATCCCCCTTGGCAGGTTTGCTGGTGAGTTGGGCAGGAGCCTGGCTGGGAGTCATGCCAGTGGCCTGCTCAGGTGGGGGTGGGAGGGAAGGACGAAGGGCAGCTCCTTTCATGAACATCCTGAAACCAACCTCGCCCACAGAGGTGGAGAACGTGGTGGACACCATCCTCTTCCTGCTCAGTGACCGCAGCAGCATGATCACAGGCTCCACTGTGGCGGTGGATGGGGGCTTCCTGGCTACCTAAGCCCCCCCCTCCATCCCCACACACCCCTGTTCCAAGTTGAACCCACCTTTACCCCCATTCCCCTTCCCCATCTCTTCAGTAAACATGATTCTTCTGTCCAGCCTGCACACTCACACCTAGGCTGCAGTCATGTGGCCGGAAGATGCAAAGCTCAGAGCTGAGCATGGGGACAAGTCCCAGGTAGAGACACCCGTTCAGCTCACCCTGGGCCAGTGGCAGCCTGGCTCTCCTGCCAGAGATTGTGGGCCTGGCTAAGTCCCTGGCAGGTATATAGGACTTTCCAGAAGGCCAGCTCCTAAGGAGGGTAGTGAATTTGACCAAGGATGATCTTCGGCCCTGTCCAGAAGCCTCTCGGGTGGAAGTGGTGGTGTTTTCACGTGAATGCTCATTGGTATTCCTTAAGTCAGTGCGGAAGACAAAAGTGAACTGAGCAGGCTGTGTGCTGGAACTTCACTACTTTGTTCACAGTTGAACGACTTCTTTGCCGAATCAGGTGGTGGTTTTCGATTACTGAGAGAATATTCCCGCAGCGTTCTGAGTCCTTCACCATGTACTAGGCACAGTCCAGGACAAGATCCAGCTGTAGAATTTGCCAACTTCCATGGTGACATATTCCCTCCTGTTTGATGTCCTTGAGGTGGAGCTGGCACAGAGGTCTGTCCTGCACTTTTCCATGCTGTCCTCACCACACAGATACAAAAGGCTTACACCCCAAAGCACAGATAATAGTACGTGTACGAAAATATTTAGGAAGTGATGGGTTTTGAGTATTTGTTAATTTCATTTTTAAATAGAACTGATTTCAAGCTTATGTAATTCTTAACAGTGGTTACTTAAAAACTGGCTAGCAGAATTCCTGAAATCCAGCAGTCCACCCTCTGCACACCACTGCGGAGAAGCTGAGTGTCACTTAGCTTCATGTCACGTATCTGCCCAGAGTGGTGCCTTGCAGGCCCCAGGGGTGATGTCCTGGTGACAGGCCAGGCCCACCCCTCACCTCCTGCCGTGTCTGCCCAGCAAAGCCAAACTGTTGACCCGTCTGCCACCCTTCCTGTCCTGTCCACACCTCCAGGGTTGTGGGACACCCTTGTTCTTTAGAGCATGTCTTCGTGAACACTCAGTTGAGTGGCCCCTGGCCTTGGCCTGGGCTCCACAGGGCCCCCTAGGGCCTGACTGCAGACTGTCCTGCGCCACCCCTGGGAGCTGCTGAGGGGTGCTGTGCCCTCCCGGAGGCCTGAGGTCAGCACAGGAGGGGCTTGCTTTATGCAGAAGGGGCCAAGCACACTGGCTCCCACCCCCTCCCACACTCACTCCCACTCCATAGGGTCCCTCCTCTGGAGGCAGAGGACTCAATTGGCCTTGTGCTGGGGGCTGGGGAGTGTCAAGCTCACTGCTCTGTACCCTTGGCTGGCAGGGGTTGGGGGCCTAGCACCCCCAGGGTGGAGGAGTCAGCAGGGAGAGACCCGGGCAGGGAGTGAGACAAGAACAGAGATGATGAAGAAGGTTTATTGTATAAAATAAGAAGGGGCTGCCCCATCCTGGGGCACAAGGACAGAACCCACCCCCCCAAACTCCCCCAGCAGGGAAGCCCATCCTGGGGCTGCCCCGGACCCGCCCCTACAGCCCGAGGGAGACCCTGCTCCCTTCCGGCCTCCCGTGGGGGCCAGGGGAGGCTGGAGCTGCGCCCCTACGAAGACGAGGCAGAGCAGACAGGACCCCCGTGGCCCCCGCAGCACCCCGGGAGCAGCAGCCTCATCCCCATGCTTCTTCCCCCTCCCCACCCCCACCACTCCCCCACAGCGGACTCAAGGACACATCTCAACACAACAGGTACAGGCAGGGAGGGGGCTGCTCTTCTGGAAGTGGGGGCTCTAGAAGACCGTGCACTTCTTCCCTGGCTTTTTCACAGGGGGCGGGCAGAGCACAGCCCGAATGGCCTCGTCGAACACTGTCTTCAGGCCCCGCTGGGTCAGGGCTGAGCATTCCAGGTACTTGACAGAGCCTGGGATCGGCCAAGAAGGGATGGTGAGGAGACGTATCGAGGGTTGGGGGGAGCACAGGCTAACGCTGTGGCTCGCAGAGCATACTCTCCTCCCTGCACCAGCAGGCCTGGACGGGCCCACTCACCGATCTCTCGGGCCATGGCCAGGCCCTGGGGGTAGGTGATGGGCGCTAGCTTCTTATCCCGCAGTCGCTCGATGGTGTCCTTATCGTCACGAAGGTCCAGCTTGGTGCCCACCAAGAGAATGGGCGTGTGCGGGCAATGGTGCCGAACCTCTGGGTACCACTGTGGGAATGGAGGCTCTGATCCCTCCCTACCCCTTGGGGGCCTTGCCCTCAGCCTGGCCCAGAGCAGGCCACAGCTCTCAAGGGCCCCTTCCTTGCCTAGACCCACACTTAGCCCTTCTTGCTTCTCAGGGCAACCATTAGGTCTGGTAAAGCAATGACCAAGAACAAAAATATGCTTCCAAGAAGCTTCCAAGCTCATCAGGGCCTCACAATCAGGGCTCTCCTTTCTCTAAAAGCCGCACTCACCACCCCTACCCCAAGTAGAATAGGCATCTCTTCTGCCTCCAAAGGACAATTTGCCTCTGTCAAGCCTTCAAGCAAGAAGGCCTTGTAAGGACAAGTTCTCTGGGCAGTCTCCGCCCCTCCCAGAAAGACCAACCGGGCTTCCAGCCCTGCCCTACCTTGGCTCGAACATTCTCAAAGGAGGCTGGGCTCACCAGGGAGAAGCAGATCAGGAAGACGTCCTTGGGAGGAAGGGAAGGAAGGAGAGGACCATGTGGGAAGTGTCAAAAGGCTCTGAATGGCCTCAGATCTCAACACACACACGCACCAGGCCCTTGGGGCCTCTACCCAAGCAACCCAGCCCCTGCAGGCACCCCTGTGGTCCCCTACAGTTTGGGGGTAGGAGAGTGGCCGCAGGCGGTCGTAGTCCTCCTGCCCGGCGGTGTCCCACAGCCCCAGGTTGACGGGCTTCCCATCCACCATCACATTCGCAGAATAGTTGTCGAAACTGCAGAAACAGAGAGATCCGCCAGTGTTTGGGTTCTCAGTCCTGCAGAGACCTGGAGCTCTGTCAGCACCTTGCTCCACCCCAGGAACACAGACCAGGGCCACCTGGGCCCCACCTTGAAGCCCAGGGGAGCGTCGCGCACAGGCGCCCACACCCTCTGCTCCCCACCGCTGGACCTGCCCGCCTGCTCACACTGTGGGGATGTACTCTCCGGGGAAGGCGTTGGTTGTGTAGCTGATCAGCAAGCAGGTCTTCCCCACGGCGCTGTGGAGAGAAGGCGAGCCCACGTTGCCCCCAGGCCCATCTCTGCCCTCCGCTCAGCAAGGGCGGCCCACTCCCACGGTCCCAGGGTGGGGACAGGGGTGCTCGCCCAGCAGATCCGCAGTGAACGAGGGACAGAGGAGGGGGACCAGGGCAGGTGGGCTTCGGAGACAGAGTGGTGGGTGCGGGCTGCGGCAAGCCGCCTCAGCGCCCCAGGCAGGTGCCGGGAGGGTGGCACCCGCTGAGGGTTCAGCCCAGGTGAGAGCCCTGGCCCCACCCACCCGGAGGCCGGGCGGGGCCGCGGGCAGCTGGCAGCATCAGGTGGGCCTGGGCTGGAGGCCTGCGCCCGGCGAATAGCCAGGACCCCGCCCCACCACGTCCTCCTGCCCCTGCCCGGTCCTCGGACGCCCACAGGCCGGTCGGGGGCGCATCCGGGCCGCCGCGCCTGGACCCCGAGCCAGGATCCCTGGTCTGTGCGCGCGCCGCCCCCTCCGCCCCGGCCGCGCCCCGGAGCCGCGCGCCCTGCCCGGGAGGATCCCCAGGGCCAACCCCGCCGGGCGAGCCCGGCCGAGCGGCCTCCGCGCCGCGCACTCACCCGTCGCCGACCACCACGCACTTGATGGCCTGCATGGGCGCGGGCCGGGCGGGCGCGGCCGCGAGCCGAGCTGCGGAGAAATGCCCGGCGCCGCAGCGGCCGCGGACCCGAGCCGAGCGCCGAGCCGAGCGGCCGGAGACAGCCGAGCGCTGACGAGCGCCGGGCGCGGAGACAGCCGAGCGCGGCCGGCAGGGCGGGCGGGGGGCGCGGACCAGCCCCGAACCCGGGCCGACGCGCTTTCCAGAGAAATCTGGCGAGGGGCGGGACACAACCCCTCAGCGAGTCTAAGCCCGGGCAGGCCCTCCCCGGTTCCCTGTGACCCACTTCATGGGGTGAGGGCAGCGCAGGCAGGCGGCTCCCACCCACCTGGACAGGTTGTGGTCGGTAGGCACAGGGTTTCTTCGAGGCAGAGCACCCCCAAGGCCCACCTACCCTCCAACCAAAAGGCAGCTGGTGAAAACTTGGGTGTTAGCTGTCAGTCACCAGAGACCCTCAAGGCCGGCAGCCCTCTGCCCCCCCACCCCCCCACCCCTCCGCTGCAGTAGTCAGACTATCCCCACTTGATAGCAGTTAGAAGGGGTGACCCAGCCACACCTGGAGGGCCGGCCTTTCCTGCAGGGCCCGGGTTTGGGAGCACAGACTGATGTGGGAGAAAGGCACTGGAATCAAAATGTATTACAAAGTGCAAACTTCTGTATTTCAAAATACCCTGGGGTGAGCAAGCTGCAGAGCTCCTGGTTGTAAAAGGTGACTGCACCACGGTGGGTGGGGCCGGGAGAGCTCACGCACTGCTCCTACCTTCTTCGGTCTGTGTTCGCAGGCATGTCACTCCCTGCAATGGGGATGACGGAGTGGGGAGGGCCCTCCTGGCCAGCCAGGTTCTAGACCGCCCCCACCACCCAGACAGGGACCCTGATTGTAAGCTGCGGCTGTCTTGCTCTCAGATCCTGCCCAGCACTGATTTTCCACGTTACTGGCTGTAGACTCTGTGCAAAGAGCCCAGACCTGCCAGTGGCCTGTTCCTGGTGAAGAAGGGAGGGGCAGGCGTCAGACACACGTCCAACAGATGCCACCTTCCTGCCGCTCTCAGACTTTCCCTGCCCCCTCACTTTTGGGGGCTCAAGGTCCTCAGGGGGGACCCCTGCACATAAGCCAGGACAGCATTTTGCAGGAAGCTGGCCCTTTGGGCCTCCTCATCCCGAATCCGGGCGATCTCAGCCTCTTTAAGGCGAAGCTTCTCTCGGAGAGAGGCATTCTCGCTCTCTCTGTCCAGCAGCGCCTCCCGGTGGTCACTCGCGATCACTGCAGGAGGGGAAGTTCAGTGAGGAAGGGGGCCCGCTCCCGCCAGTTAGGAGGTACACAGGGGGCTGGCGGGGTGGGGTTTGCTCAGGGTCCCCTGGGCGTACACACACCCAGCCTCCCCTACCAGCACCTCCCAGAGCGAAGACCTGGGCCAAGCTCAGCTTAACCAGCCAGCCGCCTCCTTCTGTGGGATGGCCTAGTAAGGCCCTGCAGAAATGCCACGGCGTGGAGGGGCCTGGGGCTCAGCTCGCCTTTCAGCTGGCGTTCCAGGGCCGCGGCCTTCTCCTTCAGTGCTTCCTGGGCCGTCAGCTCGGCCTGCAGGCGGCCATTCTGCTCTTGCAGCTCCAGCCGCACCCTCGTCACCTCAGCTACTTTTTCTTGGTCCTTGTTGCTCAGCTCCTGCCAGGCAAGGAGGGGTGAGTGTGAGGTGTTGGCTGGGTCAGGGCGGGGGGGGGGTGGGGTGGGGGGTGGGGGGGGGTGTGTGCTCCAGGGGCACCACCGGGAGCCCTCAGTGTCCCAGCTACCTGCTGCAGCTCCTCCAGGCGCCGCCTCAGGCTCTCCACCTGCAGGCCCAGCTGGCTGGCCCGCGCCTGGGCATCGGCTACCGTCTGCTTCTGCTGCATGCAGGCGCTCTGAGCCTCGTCCCGTGCCTGTGCCAGCAGCCGCAGCTTCTCCTCCAGGTGAGCCAGGTGCTGCTGCTGTGGGCCCAGGAGAAGGAAGGGTGAGCTGCTCTCTGGCCTGTGGCTCTGAGCTCCTGTGAGGAGTGACCCCTGCCCCTTCAGGCTGAAGGAAGCTTATATTTGCAAAGTGGAAACCACTTTGTCACTACAGTTAACACATGCCTTGTTCTGAATGGGTTCAAACTCTAATGAGGAGACTCCCCCGTGTGCCAAGCTGACACCATCCTGCCGCCTGGGCCCCCCACCCGTGACTTCCACCAGGTGGTCACAGGCTGCACATTTGGGACAAACCCCATCCCCACCGTGGGGAGGGAGGACACTGGCTTTTTGCAGGGAGGGCTGGAGGTGGTACTGATGGGCTGAGTGTCCTTGTCTGGCTCTTCTGCATCCCTGGAGCTCCTGTTCCCTTGTCCCTCCCTACAGAGCCAGGAGACAGCCTCGGTCGTGCCCACTTAAGCTTGAAGGGCTGTTCAAGCCCGGCAGCTCATGCCAGCCCCTCAGTGCTCTCCCTGGTGGGTGCTGTAAGCAGTGGGCTGTGACCTTGAGCTCACCTCCTCCAGGCGGACTTGGTTCTTGGCCTTGATGAGCTCCTCCTCGGCTTGGCTTCGCTCACTGAGTGCTACGGCCTTCACCCGGCTCAGCTCCTACACCACAAACAGTAACTGTCCTCAGCCCTTCCCAGGGGACCCCTTCTAGCCACACTCAGCCTCCCGAGCCTGGCACCCAGCTCACCTCCTCGAGGGACAGCCGTGCAGCCTCCAGCCTCTGCACCCTCTCTTGCATGGCTCTTTCGCTGTCCTCCAGGTGGCGAGTCATGTGCTCCACCTGCCCAGGTGCGAGGCGGGGATAGGGCTGGCAGTCTGGCCCCCTAGGTTTCCCCTCATGGGATCCCCACCCTGGAGGGGGCAGATGAATCTTGGGGACCCTGTTCCTTCCGACTGGAGGCTGCCCCAAATGGCTTCGGAGGAAGCTAGGACGGAGGGCAGGTCCCAGTGCTGCACCCCAGATGGCAGCCTGCACTGTGGCCCGGGCAGAGTCAGGGTCCCTTCTAGAAACCGGTAGGGAGGGTTTGGGTCTGACATCTGCCGGGACTGTCATCAGCAGCCCAAGGTTGTTGAGGGAAGCCCAGCCAGGAGTCTGCCTTAGGGACACCGTGCCCCACTGGGGGAACAGGGAAGGCAAAGCCCAGATGACACAACTGATAAGGCACCTCCTTGAAGCGCAGGTGTTCCGCGTCCTCCAAGCTCTGCCGGGACCTCTTCTTCTCCAGTTCCAGGCGTTCTGGAAGCACAGGGGAGACAAGTGGGTGGGACTCCTCATGGGGCCCCTGGTTCTCAGGCCCCAGCAGCAGGCCTGGGTGTGCTGACCTTCAGCCTGGACGGCCCGCATCTTCAGCTCAGCCGTCGTGTTGGTCAGCTCCGTTTTGGTCAGGAACAGCTGCTCCTGCTGAGACTTCACCTTCCGCTCCAGTTCATCCACCTGCAAAGTCGGCAAGGAGGGAGGAAGCTTCGCTCAGCTTTCCCGAAGCCCCACCCCAGGCTCCCCAGGGGCTGGCCCCACCCCCACCCCCATACCTGGTTTCGCAAAAGTAGGTTCTTTTCATTGGCAGCAGACAAGTCTCTGAGGAGCTTAGACTCCCGCTCTGCAGCTTCCTGGGGGTAACACAGCAAAAGGGCATCAGTGCCCATCTGCCACCATGCACCCCCGGCCTGCCCACCCCACACCCACCCACCTGCTGCTCCAGCCTGTGCTCCTTGGCCTGCCTCTGCACCAGGCTCCGCTGTTCCTGCTCTGTGGTAGCCAGGAGCTCCCCCAGGTCCTGGGCCTTCTGCTCCGACAGAGCCAGGGCAGCCTCTGTCATCTGAAGTCTGCAAGGAGGGAAGGGCCAGCCCCGTCCCGGCCGACCTCTAGCCTTTGCTAAGGTCATTCTTGCCAGGCCACTACTCCTGCTAGTGCCCCTTGAGCTAGTCTAGGCTCCTCAGAGACTTGTCTGCTGCCAGTGAAAAGAACTTGCTTTTTGCAAAACCAGGTAAGGGGATGGGGGGGTGGGGGGGGGGCAGTGGAACCAGGCTTCTAGGGAGCCTGGGGTGGGGCTTGGGGAAAGCAGACAAAGCTTGACCTTCCCTCCCTCAGTGCCCAGTGCCCAGCTTTGCAAGCAGATGAGTTGGAGCTCTTCCCAGAAAGCCTTCTCAGTAACTACCCTAGCGGTTTCCCTGACGTCCTTTGTGCACTGGAACTTGAGTCCCTATTAGGATGGTCCTCCTCTGCCCTGTGGGCAGGCCTCTAAAGTGTTCTGAAACCTCCTCATACCCTCATCCTGCCCTCTGCCCCTCCTTACTTGGCCTTGAGGGCATTGATGATGGAATGCCTCTCGTTCAGGGCTTCCTGAAGCTGCCCCACACGTGCAGCCGATGCCCTGTGGACAGAGAGGAGGGTTCGAGGGGCCCAAACCCGAGTCGTCTGAGCCCCTCCCTGAAGCGGCTGCTGCCCCTCATGCTCACACAATGTCCAGGTGTGGGCTAAGGCAGTGCTCAGTGGCGCCTTGAGCCCTCCAGCCAACTCCCTCAGGAAATACAGCCCACATCCTTGTCTGTGGGGAGATGACCAGGCTCACACATTAGGTCACTCCAAGGCCAGAGCCAGGACCCGGACCCCCAGGTTCCCCCACTGCACTGCCGCCCTGCCCTGGACCCGGGGCCAAGCTCACTTGCTGCTCCTGGCCATCTCTTCTTTCTGTCTGTCGATCGTCTCCATCAAGTCCATAAACTGGGGACAGAGCCAGGCAGAGCCTGTCAGGGCCCAGAGCCTGCTCACTCCCCATGGTTGGCAAGAAAGGAGGCCAACATCTACTGAGGCAGCAGGACACCAAGGAGCTGAGCCTCATCCAAGGAGAGGGTGGCTGCCACACAGGGAGGCCCAGGGGAAGTCCACCCACCCAGCTGAAAGGCATCAAAACAAGAGGCTGCCTCTCGGGCCTAGGTACTGGCTTCTTGGAGAGGCTCCAGAGCTCAGAGGGAAGAAAGGCGGCCATGGCCTGGGGGCTGAGGGGGGCTCTTTGTCCACACAGCCGGGACGGGGCAAGGCCCTGCGGCCAGAGGCAGCATCGTCCTTACCTGCTTGGACTTCTCTTCCCGGAGGTGCCGCACCTCCTTGCTGAGCACCTGGGCACGGGCCTGGCTTTCCCGGAAGACGGTCTGCCGGTCCTGGTTGTGGTCCATGGCTTGCTCTGTTGGAAAGAGTGAAGTCGTCTCCTGGGGGACTGAGCCCCAGGAATGGCCAACGACCAGCCCACCCCCATATCTTAACCACACAGATCGGACCCCTCAGTGCACTAGCAGGTGAGAGGCTCAGAGGCGGCGGGACAGGGGATAGGGGCAACAGTGAAGTGAGGAGCCTGGGAGGCACCTGGTGGGGGGGACAGGCTCATGGGAAGAGGGTGCTCAACTGTCACAAAAGGTGGGCATTTGGATTCTGCCCCAAAGGTTAAAAGCCAACATGTGACTTTTAAGAGGTGAATGTTGTGCTCAGCTCCCATGTGCTGGAAAGATCCAGGCAGCATTTGGAGAGGGGCCGGCCAGAAGTGGCCACACTGTCAACTGGGGTGACTCAGAGGCAGGTGCAAGAACCAAGAAACAAGAGAGGACATGAGTTGGGGAGACTCAAGAGGTGGTAACCTCACACTAGATTCCAGCCAAAGCTTGGGCCCTCAAGGGGCTGGTGCTGCTGGTGGAACAAGTTGCCATGGGGAGTGGCAGAGCGCTCAGCAGGCCTGGGATGGAGGAGTTGAGGGTCATGACAGAAGGGACTGTGGTGAGCCTGGGCCGTTGGCACTCTGCGGGCTCCCACCTCTGCCCTTTCTTCCTTGGTGCCTGCTCCCTGCTCCCTCTGTTTCTAATACTCTACCATTGTGATGCCTTTATGGTTCCAGTTCAAGCGGCCCCTCCCTCGGTGGGTTCTGCCCCAAAGGTTAAAGGCCAAAATGTAACTTTTAAGAGGTGAATCAGCTGATCCGTCAACAGGGAATCAACTCTATGCCCTGCTTCAAACAGTGCAATTTGCCAGCAGCCCCATGTGCCCATACCCACGGCTCTGAGGATGTCGCCCGGGATGTTATTCCCAGCCAGCTCCAGCTTCCACAGGGTTCTGTTGCTGGGGAGACAGTTCACCAGGGCGCGGCCCCCGAGGAGGCCAATGTGATTCCAGCGCAGGTCTGGAAGGAAATGTGGTGTTGCCAGGGGTGGGAGGGCTGGCCCAGCCCAAGACGCTGGCACTTCCTGTGATCGACCACAGATCAGGAGCCCGGCTCAGTGTGCCCCTCCTCGCCACCCCCTCCCTTCTGGGTGAGGACAGAGGAAGCACTGAGAGGGCTGGGATGCAAGACCTCCCTGCCTGCTCTGAGGATGGGGAGGGCCGGTGCTGGCAGCCTCACCCAGTTGCTGGAGGCTGGCATTGCTCTTCAGGGCCAGGGCCAGCTCCTCGGCGCCCTTGTGGTTGATCTGGTTGTTGCGGAGGTCCAGCTGCCGCAGGGTGCCATTGGCTGCCAGGGCCCCGCAGAAGGTGGCAAAGGCTTCATCCCATGTGCCCAGGTTGTTCCACTCCAGGGTGAGGCTGCAGGAAGGGTGGACATGAGGTGCATAGCCCGAAGGGCATCCTCCTCCCATGGGATCCAGTGGGCTCGAGGAGGAGTGCAGGCTTGGGTGGGGGGGGGCAGTCTCTGGCAGAAATTGAGTAACTTATACCCACCTACCCCCGACCAGAGAAGGCTGGCATGAAGGTGTGAACTCTCATGTTTTAGAAGAGTGTCCCCTGGAGCCAACCCAGAACCACAGAGAGAGCAGAAGCTGCGGGGAGAGCTGGGGGCTGGGACTGCCACCCTACCTCTGAATGGACTTGTTCTGTCGGAGGAGTTTTGCCAGTGCCTCGGCCCCTGCTGCTCGAAGGTTATTGCCCTAGGACAGGAAGAGGCCATCCAGTCACTCTCCGGCATCCTGGGCTGGCCTCTGAATACCCTGGTCAGGCAGCGGGTGAGGCCACGGTGCACTCTGGACAGACGTGTGGCTCCTTTCAGATTCTGCCTTCCCTGACCAGAGTGGCCTTCTGATGTGGGCTCTTTCAGTGTGCTTGTGAGAATGCTCTGGAACTCACATTTCTGCCCTCAGAACACCAGCACACATTCATGAAAGCATGAGAAAATGGGGCGGAGCCTATGTGCCCAGAGCGCTTACAGACATGGTCTCTGGCCACCATGCAGACTCCTGGCTGCCAGGACACCTGCATCTTCTCTACTCCTGCTCAGGTGGCATGCCCCTGAGTGCGGATCCACCCACCTTGAGATCCAGAAACCGCACGACAGTGTTGACACATAGCCCCTGCAGCAGCAGCGTGGCCCCTGTAAGAGAGCAGGGCAGTCACTCTTCACCCCTGGCGGCTCCATCTTGGGGCAGCTCCCCAGACACAGGGGAGGGACAGCTGTCCACGTGGCCCCCACCAGCCAGGGTTCATGCCAAAAGTCACCCCACTTCTGTGTCAGGTTTGAAACAGCTTCCAAGTGCCGAGTCAGGCTGCTGACCCTTGTGCTCATCAGCACGGCAGGACTCTCCTAAGCTGGGGGACGCTAACGACTTTCCCATTAAAAAGAGAAATCGCCTTCAGCGCCCAGGTTTCCAAAGGGGTTGCTTTAATGACAGTGAAATGGAGAAACTTCACCAAAAATAAAAAAAGAGATCTAGAGTTCTTTGCTAGAGGTGCCAAGCACCAAGGACTGGGGTATATGTAGCTAATGAGCAGCAGTGCAAAAGCAGCCAGAGGAGGTGGCCCTGAAACAAAGGGCTTGAACCCAGCCCCAACTCTGAAGTTGCAAGGACTGCCCTGGGCGCTGCCGGCCCTTGGTGCCCACCTTCCTCACTCAGCATGCAGTCACTCAGGATGAGCTCCGTCAGCAGTGACTCCTTCTGCAGCAGCTTGCCCAGAGCCCTGCAGGTGTCCACTGTCAGGCTCTGTGTGGCCAGGTCCAGTCGGCCCTGCGGCAGCTGGTGCAGTTGCTGCAGGACAGTCTCCTGGGGTTCGGTCCCACTCTCCCTGCACAGCCGACTGTAGGCGCGCCGGAACTCCTCCATGTCCCTGGAGTGCAGGAAGGGCTTCTCCCCAAACTCCTAGACAGGACTCACCAGAAGCCAGCTGGAGCCAGGAAGCCGGGGAAAGGCAGTAGGGCAGGACCTCTCCCATGGGGGCCTACAGAGGCCCCGGCAGCTCAGTGCGGGGCACAAAGACCCTAAGTGCTCAGCAGGCGAGGAACAAGGAACAAACTGAGTTAGTCCAACAGGCAGGAGGCCCCAGGAGAGAGGGGGCAGGTGATGTTCAGGAGACCGCAAGAGGGGGGACTGAGGAGGTGGGCGTCCTCGGGGGCGGAGCCTCCAGCGGCAGAGCCTGTCCGGGCGTCAGACGTACCCCTGGGCCCCGGGCCCGAGGCCCTAGCCCTCGGGCCGCTGACCCCGGCTCATTCGCCGCAGGTGTACGCGGCCTCCGCGCGCCTCAGTATCCAGGAAGAGCAGGGCGCGCCGGGAAGACCTGGTAGAAACTACGAGTCCCAGGAGGCCTTGCGGAGGAGGGCGTTCACCACGGGCCAATGAAGGCGAAGGAGCGGGCGCGCGCGGCGGGCCCATTGGTTGGCGTTGCGAGAGCGGGGCTCCGGGAGGCGCGCTCTGGGTCGATTGGCTGGCAGTTCGGGGGCGGGGCTCCAGAGGGCGCGCTCAGGGTTCATTGGCTGGGGAGGCGGGGGCGGGGCTCCAGAGGGCGCGCGCTTTTGTGGCGGTCATGGAGGAAACCGGAGCCGTCTTCCGGAAAGTGAGAAAGCGCATGCTGGCTGGGCGGGCTGGGGGTGCCGGGCGAGGTTTCTGCGGCTGGGGGACGCGCACGGGGCCGGTGGGGACGCTGCGGCCCCTGTTCCCTGCCTGACTCACGTGCGGATCCTGAGCCGGCCCCCGCGCTGCCATCTAGGGTGAGCCAGTTTCCAGAATCCGGCAGTGACCCCCATTCCGAGCGCCCTTCGTCCTCCGTGGTCCCGTGCCCCGGTAGCAGAAGGTTGAATAGGCGCCCTAGTCTGTGGCCAGACGGAAAGGGTCTGCAGAAATCGGGCAGGGGTAGGTGCTGGCACAAATGCAAGGGAGTCTCAGAGAGGAGCCCGGGCCGCCAACCCCTGCCCCTCGCCCCGCGGCTACGGGATCGGCAGGACTCTCCTCCCTCAAGGGTTTAGCGTAGAGCACAGTGTGGCCCAGCTCGCTGGTAGTGTAGACACAACTCGGCTGTGTATTCTAAAGCTTTTTTTTTTGGCCTTTTTCCTGTTACGCCAGCCCTGTGCTTTGCGTCTCGATTTAGCCGGGCTGGCTCCGTTGTCTGGTGTGTTTGTGGCTCTATGAGTGCTCTTCTTAGCAACACACCCAGCTGTCAGGCACTGGGTATGCACCAGGCATGAATTAGCCCGTGTAATGCTCAGCACCCTAGGACATGGGTCCTAGTACTGTCCCTACTTGCCAGTGGGAGAAATCAACAGAACTACTTCCAGAGTAAGCCCCTTTGCCCTGCACCTGGCAAGTGCTGCTCTGGGTGGATGGATAGAGAGGCCCGCCACCTCCCACACTCCGCTGCCTATGAGTGGTCTGGGTCTCATTTTGTTACTCTGCCTTAAGGTTTGGAGACACTGAGCCCTTGATGTCAGGCCTTTGTGAACCTGGGGTGGGAAGGTGCATCCCAGCCCCTTGTGAGCACTGCCTTGTCCAGCCTGTCCTAGTGGGGATTTTCACTCTTTATCACCCAGAGCTGGGGTTGTGGCCATTACCCATGACCAAGGCTGTCCCATCAGGGGTTGTGTTGCCTCCACACAGTGGGACAAAGGCTGACCACATCCCAGGTCCCATCCTCCCCTCTGCAAATTTAGGGACTCTCTGCTCCCAGCTGGTGTTGATCCCTTTGTCACGACCACCCCATGCAGCTGCCCCCCAGCAGCAATCTGACTGATTTAGCTCTTTGCCTGGGTCTGGGAGCTGCTGGAGCGGTAGAGCCTTCTGGGCCCTTCCTGATATCTTCCAGGTACACGGGCTTCCCCAGTGGCTCAGTTGGTAAAGAATCTGCCCGCAATGCAGAAGACCCATGTTCAATCCCTGGGTCAGGAAGGTCCCCTGGAGAAGGGAATGGCAACCCACTCCAGTATTCTTGCCTGGAGAATTCCATGGACAGAGGAGCTGGCAGGTTACAGTCAATGGGGTCGCAAAGAGTCAGACACCACTGAGTGACTAACACTCCGGGTACACAGCGTGTAGGACCAGCAGGTGGCGCCAGGCTCCCGTAGTCACAGCTGGAAGGGTGAAGCTGCTTCAGCGCTGCTGGTGACCAGCAAGCTCTTCGCCTCCCGAGCTGGGTCTCCAGTGGAGTCCACTCCTTCCACTCTGCTCTCCAGCTTTGCTAAGCTGCACTGGGCAAGGCTGTGCCATCTCGATGGCCAAGGCTGGAGGCCTGGTGGGTGCTTGGCTCGCCTCTGCACGACACCCGGCTCCTGGGCACCCACTGCTGCTGTCCCACGTCCCGAGGCGCTCTGTGGGCTCCTCATTCACAGCTTCTTCCAGCTGGTCCCTACCCTCAGTAACCTCCCTGGGTCTCCTACCTTGACTGCCCATTGACAAGGAGCCTGGCTCCTGCTAAGCTCTGGGGTTCTCACAGTACCCTTCCCCATTACAGGAAGATCCCCTTCTCCGTGCCATGCTGTAGGCCCCAAGGAGGGACCTGGGATGCAGCTGGCGCCGTGCTCAGAGCAGGGTCTGACAAAGCCAGGCAGTGTCAGTGACATGGGCAGGGCTGTGAAGGGGCCCACTGTGGGGAAAGCAACTTGTCTCTGGGAGCAGGAGCACAAGACCATTCTGGATACCATGAGAACTAGAGCCCAGAACAGTGGGCAGGCACCTTGGCTGCTCCCTCATGTCTGCCACACGCGTCTCATTTCTGGCTCTCCTGGAGGCATTCGCAGGGAGGTATCCCCCCATGCCTAGTCCTCCACCCTGGGGAGACCCAGCCCCACAGACAGCATTTCCAGCTGCAGATTACAACCCCATCCCATCCACAATGAAATGACTAAAGGGTCAGCAGGAGGGGTGGGGGAAGTGGCTCACTGATGTGCCCTCCGTTCCCCAGGAGCTGGTGAGCAAACTGCTGCACTTGCACTTTAAAGACAAGAAGACCAAAGGTGTGTGAACCCGAGGCAGGGGTGGGGTGCTGGGACCCTGCTCTGCAGGAGCCAGGGCCTCAGGGAGGGCTGGGTGGGCCAGACAGAGGGTGGAGGTCACCAGCCTGAGCATGAGCCACACCAAAAGCGGTGAGGGCAGAGTGGGGCGGCAGGGAGAACGCGAACTTGTAACCTGCTCCCTTCGCCTTGCAGTCAGTGGGGATGCGCTGCAGCTCATGGCCGAGCTGCTCAAGATCTTCGTTGTAGGTGAGCAGAGGGGCCCGATAGCGTCCTCTGGGGTCCCACCCAGGCTTGTCTGGACCATTTGTGATCCCTTTACATTTTTCAGTGAGGCTATCAAGACACCTTTTTCCCATTTTCCCACAAGCACCTTGTCCCTGAAAATTTCTGTATTTCAGAAGTCCCAACCTTCTGAGCTGTCAGCTGGCACAGGGGTAGGGGAACAGCCAGGGCTGTGGCCCAGGGGTGTTGGGGTTCAAGCACCCCCAGCTTTCTCTACCTTACTTCCCCCCTGCATCACGGCAGAAGCGGCCATCCGCAGTGTCCGGCAGGCCCAGGCAGAGGACCTGGACCATGTGGATGTGGAGCAGCTGGAGAAGGTGCTGCCTCAGCTGGTAGGTGGGCCTCCAGAACAGGGCCTGGGCGGGGAGTGGGTGGGTGGCCCACACCCATAAGGCTCTGAGCACGCCTCTCCCCCACAGCTTCTGGACTTCTAGGGTTTCCACCCTCACTGTGACTGCCTGCTGGGAGTCGTAGCCTCTGGCTGCAAACATGACAGAAGCTGCTGACCCACAACATTCTCCTCCAGCTCCCAGCAAACCACCCCTCTTCCCCAGGTCATCCCTTCTGCCTGCTGCTGATGGCCAGGACACAGCATGTGGAGGGGAGAGGTCGCTGACAGGATGAGGGGCCAGGTGCCTGGGTGGGTGCCCTACCCACCCCGCCCCCCGGGGCAGCCAGGTGCCCACCGGTGTGAGAGAAGCACTCGGTCACTGGGAAGCGGGTGGCGGGAGACCCGCCCACCTAAACAGGTAGCCCACATGTCCTCCGCAAACACACAGAATGGTGTGGTTCTGCCACTGGTACCAAAGCTAGTGTGTCACCTTCCAGCCATCTGATACTCCCCTCAAAAAGATGCTTCGCCGAGCTATACATTTGTTTTCAACAAAGCAACATCAATAAATCAGAGCCACCTCCCCAGGCACAGCCTCCTGTTGCCATTAATCACCCAAAGTCAAGTTGCTTCGAAGTTGGAAGAGGACAGAGTAACAAACAGCATGTGTGAGTACCCTGCCGCGGGCCGGGCTTGAGGGGCTGTGACATCAGAGCCCTCGCACGTGTGGCTGCTCGCCTGGGATGGTGCCTCTGCCACGGGGCTGCCGTGGGCGTGGGGTGCCACCGACCAGCCGGGATGCCCAGGGATGTGTGGGCAGGGCTCTTTGGGGGGAGAGGGGTCATGCCAGTGGAAAGGAGTACTGCCCCCAGGGCCCAGGTGAGGCAGGTCAGGGCTGTTCAGGACCTGTTAGGAGCCCAGTCAGGAGGCTTGGCTGCCCTCTGGGGCCCAGTAACCACCCCCCCACCCCTCCAGCACCTACCTCCCATTAATTCTGAAAGCTGCCTGGACTTGTCAGCCTAGGATTGAATCACCCCAAGGGCTCTGGGCCCAGTGACCTTGGAGTCAGGACTCATGGAGCAGCGGGACCTGGCCTGCTGGGGAGGGACATCTGCCCGACTGCCATGGGCACCCAGGAGCCCTGCCCCCACCCCCAAGGTGGCATAGGTAGGGGGCCAGCCCGCGCTCCCTAGTTTAGCCCCACTGGCTCCTTCCTGCACCCGTTCCCCGCCTCTGCCCCCCATCTTCCTCTCCCCCCCTCCCACAGGGAGTCTCAGGGCTTCAAAGCTCTGGGCGCATGTGGAAGTAATTAGACCTGAGGGGAGAGGCTGGCGACAAGTGCCAGGGCCCGTGCCCCCCCCACAGCCACTTTGAAGTGCACTCAGACGGTGGGGCGGACGGGCCCCGGGAAACCCCAGGCTGGCCCTGCCCGCCCCGCCCTCCAGGGGTGGAGGCAACATCCTCTCTCCTGTCAGGGGCTGAGGGCCCGGCCTGAGCTGCAGCCAAGCAGGCGACGCCCAGAGGCCTTTCTCCCCAAATTTGTGTCCTCCACAAAGGGGGAGTTCATGTCAGTGAGGTTCAAAACCAAAGGGCAGGCAGTTCAAGGAAGACACCTGTGTCCTTAACAAGAACAAGCCCCAGCAAGCAGCCTCTGGGCTCACGTATCACCACCCAGCAGGCTGGGGGCCTGTGGCTGGGAGCTTGGCGCAGAGCGGAGGACCGAGGGACCCTCCCCTGGAAAAGATGACAGGAGGGTCTCAGGAGAGACTCGCGTCTTTATTCCCGCTCAGGGTGGGCAGGGGTCCCGTGGCTGGCAGAGTGGGCACCTCTGGCGGCTCTCACCTCTTCCCGGCTGCAAGGCAAACACACGGGGTGACCTCGGGGCCCTGGGCTCCTGCCCACAGCCCCTCCCCGCCCAGCCACGCCCCCAGGGTACCTGGCAGCTTCAACCACTTGGGCACTTTGCCTAGATCCCTCCTCACAGGCTGGGCTGTCCCCCGGCTGGGCTCAGGGGGCCCCACTGCCCCTTCCTCAGCAGCTGGCTCCAACTCAAGGGGTGCAGGGTCAGGGGCTGGCGGTGGGGGTGGGGTTCCCGCAGCCCTGGACATGCACCTGGAAACAGAGGCACAGAGGCCGAGGTGGCGGGCGCTGTGCCAGTGGGCTCCGCCACCCTCTGTGAACACTCACCTGGCTGCGAGCACGTCAGCTGCAGATGGGGAGACGGTGTGTTCCAGCAGCCTGGGCTCCAGGTAGATGCCTGCAGGAGGCCTGTACCCTCAGGCCACAGACATGGGGACCCCACCCGCCTACTGCTGCTTTGCTCTGGGAGGGAGTGTGGCCCAGCCCTGGGTAGTAGTAGGGTAAGGGGGTATTGGGGCCACAGGTCTCCCTCCCAGACCTGAAGTCCTCTGCTCTGGGGCATCTCAGGAGCTCGAATGTGGGGCCCAGGGCTGGCCAGAGCTGGTGGGCAGAGGGGGACGCTACCCACCTGTCGGCTCCTCAGATCCAAAGTGCACAAGGGCAGCAGGGAAGAGGTTCGCCTGCAGGGAGGGCGGAGGGGAGCTCAGGGAACAAGTGGGCCCCGTGGGGCACAAGATGGCAGGGAGGTGCAGTGAGGGCTGCAGCTGGTTTCTGTGCTGGCCTCACGGGCACCACATCTGTTAGGCCCAGGCCTCCACTGAGGAGGCTAGAGCCCCACCAGGCCCCTCCCATCAAGCCGCCTACTGCCCAGCTTCACCTGTTCCTCCTCTGGCACCAACCCCAGTGCAAGCCAGGCCAGGGCATCAAACAACAGGGTCCTTCCAGGGCCCAGCCTCAAGCACCAGCTGAACAGGAAGCTCTTGTGGTGTGAGTGCTGTGGCATTTTTAACTACCTCCCCTTCCTGCCCTGCCTCCCCTTCCTGCCTAGGTCCCAGGGTCAACGCTTAATATTCTGAAGGTTGTGGCCGCCCCACCCTCAGCAGAGACTACAGGACATCAAGAGGTCAGAGATGCAGATGAAGACAGAAGTGCATGGAGGGGGATGGGGGCATGGGATGTGAGGTGGCCGCCAACAGAGGCCACAACCTGCTGTGCCCCAGGCTCCCCCGACCTCTGCTGCCCAGAGAATGGAGGGGGGACTCTGCAAGGGCTGACAGGTGAGCCCAGTTCCCCTGGGAGCAGCTGGATGGGCGATGGGAGTGCCATGTGCAGGGCTCTCCAGTGGTACCCAGACATAGGGAAGTGAGCGGGGGGCCTCTTGGAGCCAAGCTGCTTTGGGAGCCTGGGTTCAGAGGTGCTCCCAGGCCTACTGCCTTGACCTGAAAGCCCACATAAGGGTTCCCTGACTCAGCAGTGGGTCACCTTATGAGGAAGAGCCAGTGCTAGCCAGCGTGAAGCCCCTCTTGCAGGGTAGGGGGTGTCCCCACATTCTTCCTGGCGTCCTGTCCGTGGGGGTGGTGGCACAAGATTTCTGCTCAAGGACTGGCCCCACCTGCATAAGACGCATCACGTGGCCCCTGAAACATTCCTGGAGGCCTCCCAAACAGGAGGCCAGACTATGGTGCAGAAATCAGGGTTGTAGGATAGGATCCCAGAGCCCCCCAGCGTCATCACCTGCCTCCACTCCCGCCTCTGCATCTGAGGACGACCGTGGCTGCCACCCCCAGACCTGGCCTGAGGAGCAGCGAGGCCACCACCCACAGCCCTGTGTCCTCAGCCCTCGGCAGAAGGGCCGCAGCTGCCAGCTGAGTGTATCCTCTCAGCTCTGAGCTCTTGGAATTGGGTGGAGAGTATTAACAGAAAGAAGCTTCAAAGACCAGGAACGCTGGGATTGCAGGCAAAGCCGAGGGACAGAGAAGGGCCATGAATGCTCTGAAACCCCACTCTGAGGCCTGGGATCACAGCCTGCTGCAGGGGGATGGCCTGGAGGGTGTTTGGGGGCTGCCCCCTGGCCCGGGGGGGCACCGGAATCTGGAGGGGCTGGAAACAGGAGAGTGCCTTAACCTTTCTCAGGTGGCCCAGTGAGGCCAGACCCTGAGCTGGCCAACCCCCTAGGCACTGGTAGGATTATCCCAGTGGGGCCGTCTAGGGGCTGCAGAGCTTAAAGCCTTGAAGGACCCCTCTGGGCCCCTCGAGGCAGCTCTTCTGGAACCTGGCCTCCCTGCCTCCCCTCTGCACCTGCTGGAAGCCCTCTACCTGCCAGCTTGTGTCCCAGGGGATGACCCCACTGGAAAAAGGGGTGAGTAGAAAGTACAGAAGACCACTATTACTCCAGGAGGGAGGTGCACCCCTCTGCTCAGGCTGACAAAGTTCACAGATCATGGTGGTCTTCAGGGCCCTCTAAGGGCACCACCAAGGGGTGGGGCTTGATGTTGGGGCTCTGGGTAAGGCAGTGCAGGGTGGCTGAGACAGGAGCAAAGGGAGGTCCCTGAGGCTCGGGGCTGCACCAGCATGAAGGGGCTCGGGCCCAGGAAGTAGGTATGACGTGGGCTGTTGGGGACCTCTGTGTTCAAGGATGGCATCCTTGGCAACCACCAATCCTCAACCTCACCCATCTCGCCCAACAAACAGTCACTCTCCTGGCCCCATGACCAAAACAGGCAGCTAGGCTTCCAGCCCCCACACCCACCCTGAGCTGTCACTTCCTGGGGCGCAGGACTGGCCCCCAGGGCAGCCTCCAGGGCAGCCGGCAGCCAGCAGCCAGCATGCGGCCCTGCCAGGGACATGAAAGCCGGCAGCTTCCGCGCCCGTTCACCCGCGGGAGGGAGGAAGGCTTCCTTCCCCGAGCCCTGCCAGCTCTCTGATCGCAGGCAGGCAGGGACGCCACCCCGAGCGGAGGCCCCACGGCTCCAGGGCGAGCTGACAGATGAAAGGAGACGGCTGCTAGTAGCAGGGGGCAGAGTGTCACCAGGAATCAGGCCGCGTGGGCGGGACAGGCAGCACCCCAGGGTTCCTAATTGGAGGGGGGGTGCCTGGACCCTGGCCTCTCTCCATCCCAAAGCATCTTCCAAATTCAATGTTTATCAACAGGCTGGCCAAAGATGGAGAGTGGGGAGGGAGGGAGGCAGGGCGGGTGGGGATAGAGGGAGGCCCGGTGCCTCTGGGGCTCCCAGGGGGCTGCAGAAGGGGGCTGAGAAGGGGGAGTGGGGATGCGGGGAAGCACCCTGCTCCCACCAACCTCGACTCCTTTCCTTGGTGGGCTTCTAGCCTCTCTGCTGGTCTGGCCCCATCCCCCCAAGATGGTGGCAGCCCCAGGCAGCAAGCAGATCCCCTTGCCCCAACTCAGACCTCTGCAGGGCCTGCTGGCCATTTAACAAAGGCCAGCCTCTGTTACTAATTAAAATATCTGAAGAGACTTTAAGAGGAAACCATTAGGCCAGAGGGCTGGGGAGGCCCCGGGCTGCTCTCCTGAGGTGAAGGGACAGGACATTCCTTCTGGCTCTGGACTGCAGCCCAGCAGGGCACCGGATCAACACTCCTCACCCTGGGAGCTCTGGGGGCCCCCAGTGCCCAGGGAGGGCCCGCCGTGGCATTCCCAGCGGAGGCCATGGGATCCAGGGGACAGGCAGGGGCAGGGCAGCAGGCCTGGCAGCAGCCCCTCCAATCTGCAGCCAAACTTGCCCGGCAGCTGGCACCCCAGGGGCCTCCTGGGCAGCTGGCCACCTAAACTGAGGCCTCTGACCCTTGGTCCTTCGGGGGCTCCCCGAGCAGCCCCACGTGCCAGCCCCTTCTCACCCAGATCCAGGGGCAGTCCTGGCTCAAGCCAGCATCAGCCAGCTGGGCAGGCCAATCCCCACCGAAGCAGGAGGCACGAGAGATTGAAAAGCCCCAAAACTGCCTTCAGAGGCGCTCTAATACAAGCTCACTCCTCTACAAGGCCTTATCGTACTTCTGACTGTGGCCTCACCCGCCCTCCCTGGCAACTGTCCCTCCCAGGCCAGCCCCAGACAGTACCTGAAAGAGGGTCAGCGTGTGGTCGTCCAGGATGGTTTTTGGAGGAGTGATGACTGCGGAGAAGTGGTTGTCTGCACCAGGAAGTGCCCTGCCCCTCCCCCCATCACGACCCCCACCTTTTGCTCATGCTTGCCCCTACACCCCCGACCCCCTGCTCCCAGAACAGGCTTGAGAGTGAGCTGGAGGATTTCCGAAGCAGCCCCCTCAGCTCACATCTCCCTATCTATCTCTCTGCTATTGCAAAAACCCAGCCAGAAGCTGGGGAGAGGGCCAAGGGCAGACTCACCCACAGGGGAACACCTGACCCCTCAACCCCCAGATGTTCTCCAAAGGCAGCCAGCAGCTCTTCCTGACACCCTCTCCCCCAGCCCCCACAACCCCCAGGGCAGGCGGGCAGCAGAGGGCACAGGGGTACTGAGCAGGGTCACCCTCCCTCCCCAACTCCCCCAGCTCATGCTCAGACCCCAGCGCAAGACCCGCCAACCCCATGCTGCTGCTTCTGTGGGAAAAGCTGCTTCAAGCCCCAACTGGGAGGGGCCAGGGCGGCTGACAGGATGTCCTGAGGAAGCACTCACACAGGTAGAATGGCAGCTCGGGGTTGCCCAGGTGGCTCCTCACGAAGTCCTGCAAATCCCCCACTGCAGGAGAAAGGGTGGGTAAGCAGGCACCCCATTCCAGGGCCACGCCCCCTCTGCAGTGGGATGAGCCAGGTCCAACCTCTCTGCAGACCACCCCCCAGGTCATCGAGGACCCCCCTCAGAACTGGTGGCACGGCTGGCTTTCTTCAGGTGAGCTGCAGTCCTAGGCCAGAGGCCCCAGTACTGGGTATAGGGAAGCCCACCTTCTCTGGGTGCCCCTCTGTCTCACCAGAGCCCAGAACAGTGGGTGCATGGAGGGCACCCAGCCCCAGAGGCACTGCCCAGCTGCTCTGCCAGGCCTCTGACGAGAGCCAGCCCCCAGCCCTGTGCCCACTGCCTGCCCCAGAGCCCAGACGGAAGGAGCCTGGAGGGGCTCGTGGGGCCTCCCGCCCTCCTGGCCTCCCAGACGGGGCTGCTCACCGGTCTCGCTGGGGCGGAAGAAGCCCTGCAGGATGTAGCGGTCAGGAAACAGGACCCTCAAGACCACCTAGGCCAGGACAAGCCAGTTTGTCAGCAGGACAGCTAGAGCCCAACCCAGGCAGCCGTACCCCTGAGCCCACAACGGCCAGGCCTCCCCTACACTGGGCCAGCACCCCCTCACCTTGGCTGCCCCCTGAAACTCCTGGCCACGGGCTGGAAGCAAGGACCAGACAAGTACCCACATGCACTTGTGAAAACACAGTGACATTCTTCATCTTAAAACGGGGCTGACTGGTTCATTAACAAACCGCAGCCCTGCAGGCCTGTGCTAAACTACAGGAGACCACAGCCAGTAACCTGTGGGCTTCGGGAAACGCAGGAGGCCCCAGCACAGAGCCGTGTGGAGACCGCACCTCCACATCCTGGGTACCTTAGGATAGCGCTGCAGCTTCTCCTTCATCTGAGCCTCCCTGAAGGCTTTGGTCACCAAGGGCGCTTCTTCTAGGCGCTTCCTGGGGAGAGGGTGGGCAGTGGTGAAGGTCCCAGGTCTCCCCAGCCAGAGCGGAGGCCCACACCGGCTGGACTCTGGGCTTCTCCCTCAGGCTCCGTGAGATGCCCCCCACACAGGGCCAGACAGGACTAAGCGCCCCCTGCCTGGGCCCCCGCACCCTCTGAGGTGCTGCCGAGCGCATGGGTGTCTCAGAAGGGGCCAGGGCACACCCACCGCTCACTCTTGAGTTGGGCCAAGCGTCTTCTGACGTCATCCACGGTCACCTCGAAGAACTCGTCAGGCAGCTCTGCAGGCCAGGCCTGGAGCAGCACCTCCAGGTCAGGGTGGCACACCACAGGGTCTCGGTCCACCGGCTGGGCAGGCAGAGAGCTCAGCTGACGCAGGTCCCAGGAGAGGCCCAAGCTCCCCACCCTGAGGGGCTGGGGTAGCCATGCAGACCCCAGCTGAGCCATGTGCTGCCGGCCCCACCTGTCAGCCCGTGGCCAGGACTCCAGGGTGGGGCATGGGGCACCCAAGCCTGTCCAGGACCAGGGACCCTCCCCCAAGGCTTGCCCACTCAGCAATACGGATGCCGAGACCCTCACCAACAGGGCCCCAGGGTCTCAGCGCAGCCAGGCCAGAGGGCACCTTGACTACTAGGGGGACCTGGACAGTAAATGAACGGCAGCATTTCTGTTTGCGTCCTGTCTTTATGGGGGCTCCCCATGAGCCCCAGGAAGCCACCTGCTATCACGGTCTCCCGAAGTGGGGAACAAAACGGGGGAGCAGTACGCTGGTCAGGGCCACGTCAGAGATTCCACAGGAGGGGCAGGACAAGCAACAGCCCCTAAATCAGAGGGTTGGCAAAAACCTGCCAGCCGCTGGCCCGTGGCTACACAGACCCCACCTCCCTCCCTGGGGGAGCAGTCAGCCCCGCCCTCTGCCTACCGTGGGGACACAGGAAGGGACAGCCTCTTTCCTAATTGGCAGCCAACAGCGACGGAAATTACAAGGCAGGGCTCGCTGTTTGCAGTGCCTCCGGGTGGGTAATTGCAGCGAGTGTAGCCCAACTGATGAAGGGGGAAGACACCTTCGCGGTGCTGAGGCTGCCTATGGAGCCCAGCCTGGCTGAGGTGTCCCACGGGGCCCACGCCAGGTCCTGCCCTCCCTTGCACGGACCGTCCACAAACATCTGGGGTGAGGCCTCTCTCGCCTCCTGCTCCTGCCTGCCCTCTCCTCCACACCCCAGCCTTGCACAGGAATCCACACTCTGCCTCCAACACCCAGCGCCGGGCTCGGCAGGCTTCTCTCCTTGTCCCTTCCTGTGCTCTGGCCTGACCCCAGCCCCGCTGGCTCTAAAGGTCAGACTCACCGTCCTGGGGCTGGCCAGTACACCTGCCAGGTGGCCCACGGCTGCTCCCCCAGCCACCCCCGAGGCCCTGACTGCCCAGGCTGGCAGGTCTCTGCCACTCCTGAGCGCACAGCTGCGTCACGCCTTATAACAAAGGGCAGTAGGCTCTTGCCAGAAAGCCCCTCTGATCTCAGGGCACTGGTGGCAGGGTAGCTAGGAAAGACTGGCTGAGGCCCAGGCAGTGGGGTCAGTAGGTGGCTGACCGAGGCCCCTGGGGGTTGCCCCATCAAAGCCACAACCCTCCTGCAGCCCACAGGCAGTCCACGCCAAGCTTTTTATAACAAGATGCCAGGCGCCAGGCTGCCCCCCACAGCCACGGCGCCTGCATTCCAAAAGGGCCGAGCACTCGCCTGGGCTCCTGGGGGAGGGTGAGGGCAGACATGGATGTGCCTGAGCAGGGCACCGCAGTGTCCATGAGTGCCAGGCCCCTGGGCACTTGAGCACAGAGCCCACGTGCCAACGAGCAGGCTCTGGGGCCACCCTGCCCCAGTCCCACCCTCAGAGGGCCCCGTGTGGGCACACGAGTGAGTCGCCCTGAGAATCCAGCCATCGGGTGACTTGTGGTCTGTGGCCTGGAGCTGAGCCTGACCATACAGAAGTGCCCCTGTTCTCCGGGGGACATGTTGGCGAAGCCCGACCCTGAAATCGTGGGGCCACTCTGGCCTCCTTGTCCTGGGTACTTCCACTGCACAGCCCAGGGATGACCTGGAGGACCGCAGGCCACTAGCACTTTCCACAGCCCTCCCACAACTTCCAGAACAAGGAGGCAGGCGACACCAGCCTTCAGCTTCATGCTGCTCAGGGGCCACTGACCTTTAGTCAGACAGTAAACGGACAAAAATCTCTCTCAGTGCTGGATCTACCCTCAGTTCGTGCCCCTCCTCCCACGCACGCCTCAGCTCTGCTCCAGAAGCCCGTCTGTCTGTCCAACAGCAGCCTGGAGCCAGGGTCCTACATGGGAGCCAGAGGGCTGGGAGAGAGCCACCTCGAGATGACTGACTCGCCTGCATCATCTGCACCTTGGGGAAACTCCGCGCTCCTGGGCAGAGGAGCCAGGGGTCTGATGCCGCCCTTCAGAGCCCAGACCACCCAAGTCCCAGAGCTGCCGCCCTAACCTGGCCCCAGGAGGGCCCTGTCCCAAGAAAAGAGTGGATTTCCATGGCTGGTTGGTAGGACACATCATCCTGTCCTACCAAATGACCAAGGGAGAAGCCAGGGGGCCTCAAACACCTCCACACAGCCTGCCCAGTGGAGATATTTCCACTGCAAAGAGGAGAGAGACCAGGAAAGGAGAAGAGGGCCTGACAGCTCCACGTGGGAGGAAGTGCGGCAGACACGGTCAAGCCGCGGCCCCGCCCACTTCGGACGCTCTGCTGGCAACCTGGCCCTCCTTTGCTGTTCCTTCACCACCATTCCTTGGTCATGCAGTTGTTATGCACACAGCTCCCATCCCAGATGGATTTATGGAGATGTTTTTGGATAGAGACTAGAGATCTAGGATGAAACACCATTAGGTGAGGAAAAAGAAAGGCACCCAATGGCCACTGTCAGAGGGCCTTGGTGCCCTTACCACAGAGACTGGGTTCCTGTGTGCTGATAGAGGGCCAGAGCTCCCAGTTCTGGGATGGGGCTCCAAAATTAAACACCCCCTGTGGAGTGGCAGGCCTGGAACCTTCTCAGCACACCTGGCAGCTTGTCTTCACAGCCCAGAACTCCAGGTCAACTCTTCAAGAGCCTGCGGGAGCCGCTCGAGGATGCGCCTCCACTAAGAACCCAATGTCACCAGGCCTGGGTCATCCTGGCAAAACTGCAAGGTTTCCATCATCAGCTCAGAGTCCAGCTCCTGAAGGCTGCCAGTATTCAGGGCACAGACTGGCTCTGACTACCCCACCCCCTTAACCCCCGGAATGCCAGAGGAGCTGGTCTCTCCCCTGATGGCCTCAATGCTGTGGGCATCTGTCAGCAAGAAGATGAACAGAATGATGAGGCGGCAGCCAGGGCCTGGGGCCTGAGTCCAAGGAGTTGCGAGGTGGGGGGTCTATACCACTGCCCATGACAGATGAGCAAACAGGCACCATCCTGAGGGGAGGCACAGCGGGTGTCTGCAGGCTCCGAGGGTAGGGCCTTAAGGGACCCAACCCTGCTGGTGAAACACCGCGTGGGGGTCCCTCATTTCCTGCAAACACGTGACCCTGGCAAAGATTCCCTTGTCCCAGCTTCCACCAAAGTTATTACAGACAAGACAACACCCAGAAAACCTGAAAGGAGGAAGGTGGATGGAAAGAGCAGATGAGTCAGGGGGTCTGCGAACTGGATGAAACTGGCAAGGGGAACAGACGACACCAAGGGAGGGACAAGACCCTCTGGAGGTGGGGAGATAGGAACACCCTCTGCGGGTGACGTTCAGAGGAGGCCCCAAGCGATGGCCTGAGGTTGGAGAGAGGTTGGACTGACACCTGGGCCACTCGGTCATAGGGACTTGGGAACCAGCCACCAGCTGTGGATGGCCACCAGCACCTTTAGAAAGAGCCACTGCGACAGTGGGACAGACCCTTCGAGGGAGACCCAAGGGGAGGAAGGTGAGGGCACTGCCCACCGTCAGCACCACTCCAGATCAGCAAGGTCACAGGCACAGCCAGGGGCTGGACATGGAGGGGACAGGGCACCGGGCCAAGATCTGGGCCCACAGCATCCCCCGACAGCTGGTGGATATGCTCCAGTGGCTGCCACACGAATGGCTGAGGACCCACTTGGGCACACTAGGGTCCCTTCGTGTCAGAAGCAGCCTCACTGCCCGCTGAGGTTTCATTTTCTTGACGGTAATTTTCCAGGACATGATGACACAGGGAGAAAAAATGCAAAAACTATTTGGAGGTGACCTCAACCCCAGATTTTCCAGCTTCCCTGTGAGGGCTCTTGTGTCCCTCCCGCCCTCCCGCCTCCCTCTTGCCCAGACTGTCCCTCTGACAATGGTTTTTGGTAACAGGGAATGTGAAGCGTTTCCCCTTGAGGCTTGGAGCTGAAATGAATCACTATGCAGGAGGGACGTGGGCCAAGCCTCCGTCACTCTCAGAGCCGGCCGCCCTCCGGAGCGTGCGCCATGCCAACGTCAGGCCAGGCCTGACCGGCGAGGCCACACTGAACCTGAGCCCCTCACCCACTGGGCCCGTCATGACACAGGCAGAAGCCAGGCCTGCCCCAGCCCGGGGCTGAGGTCCACACCTGACTCTGCCCACCTTCCAAGCAGGAAAAACCAGAGCAGATCTTTAAAAGAGAAACGCTGGGATGCAACAGCGACACGGGTAGTTTGAAGCCGGCATCTCTCCGTGCACACGGTGCACAGACCCCCAAAGGACTGAAATAAGCAGACACAGGGTGTGGGGTGGCTCTCCTCATCCGCAGGGGAAGATGTGTGTTCCAGACCAGCAAGCCCAAGGGTGGATGCACACAGCGGATCAGGGCCAGAAGCAATCCCACACAGGGAGCCCCCGGGGCCCAATCAGGATGGGGGCCCGCCAACCAGGCCTCCTGGTCCTGTGGGCAGCTCTGGGTACCAAAAGATGCTCAGGTGGCCGGGGTGCCCTGCCTGCCTGTTCTCCATCATGGCTCTGCAGGCTGGGCGTCTGCCTCTCCCCTGAGGCCAGTCACTGCTGACACAGCACAGAGACAGCTGCAGGGCACCCGCCGGTCACCAGGTTTCAGAAACCTCCTCGAGACTCAGCCAAGGCCTTCAAAGCAGCTGACCCATCTGCCGAAAACCCTCAGAGGACATCCCAGTTAAGCCCAAGGCTGGCGCCCGTGGGTATCCACAGTCACCAGCAGGTCAGGGACAGCTCATACCCCACCCTGGGTTCACACACAGGGGAGAGTGAGCTGTGCTCTTGGGGGCTGTCATGGACAGACACCCCAGACCAAGAGAAGGAGGGCAGCAGGGCAGCAAGGGGCACCGCTCCCAGTCTACCCCAGCCCCCAGGTCCTGGCCAGGGTCCCCCCAGTCCTGTGTGTTCTAAGCCTCCCAGTAATCGGGGACAGCAGGAGGTGAAGCTGATGCCTGCTCCAAGGTGTGGGTGCAAGGTGCAGAGCAAGTCATCGGGGCCACGTCTCCAGGGGAAAAGACCACCCGGGGGGGGGGGGGCAGGCAGGGGAGACCGCGGTCAGCCAGCCTTGCTAGGGGGTTGGGGCTTTTGATCACGAACCCCTGTGCCAGCTGCGTTGGGGGACGCCTGCTGGGAGCACGGCCCAGCAGCACAAAGAGCTGCGGGGCAGCCTCCCGGGCCAGCGGAAGGACTTCAAAGGACAGGCCAGGGGCCGCCGGGCAGCCCCAACCTCTCCCCGCACCCGGTTCTGACGGCCAGTAAAACTACCTTCTAATAATTAATGTTCTGACATCAAAGGCAGGAGCCGCCCGGGTCTGTAAACCATCCTGGGCCTCAGCCGAGGACCTGCCTGTATTTCATCCTGTCTCTTCTGACTCTTCATTCAAATCCAAAACCACACACAGGCAAAACATTAATGGGAAACTTGGAAACTCTTCTTGATTACTAAAATGTACCTTTGAAGTTCCCCCAAAAGTTCTGTTTTGTTCCCTCCTCCCCTCCCCCAGGACTCGAGGGGACACAAAGCAGACACCATGTGGCCAGCCGGGCCTCCGGGTGCGCGGCTGTCAGTGTGACAGGAGGCGCGAGGCAGGCGGGCGGGCGGGGGACGCGCCACAATCAACCAGCTGCTGGGGCTCCCAGATCAAAGACACGCACTGCTGGCGGCCAGGCGGACCCTCCCCGGGACCCCCCCTTCCTGGGGCCCCTGGGGTCAGCACTGGGGGATGCACTGGGAACCTGCGCCTGACAGCAACCACTACCAGGCCAGCACCAGCCCAGGCCACTCCCCACATAGCCATGGGTGTCAGCGGGTTCCCAAGAGATGCAGAGAGCCACAGGCTTTAGGTTGGGAGGAAGAGACAGCCAGCCCCAGTTCTAGCTTTCTGGCCCCCAAACTCAGGGACCCCTCCCCCAAAGGGCAGGCCTGAAGGGAGTCAGGCCCCGGGCCCTGGTTCACCCCAACCATAAAGCTCTGCGTTCAACCACTGATTCTGGACCCAGGTGATGAGACTGGGGGCTTCATATTACTATCTAATGCAGCCCAAACATCAGTGTAGAAGCCAGTGGGGTCTCCGAAAGGCCAGGGTGCCACCACTAACTCCCTAGGGTGGACATTCATGGGGCTTGGGACTGGCTCAGTCCCCACCCCACCCCAACACCCCCCTCCCCACTGTCCATTTCAGCAAGAACACACAAAGGGTGATCTGGGAAGCAGGAGGAGGTCTCTGATGCCTGTTCCTCTGCAGGGACTCGGGCTCTGTTTCATGGCTGAGCTGCCCCACCTGCCCCCAACACACAAGCACAGGTGCCCCTACTTTTCCACCATACTCCAGTGTGTGACCTGGAGCAAGAGTGAGGAGGGGGCTCTAGAAGAGACAGGGTGCAGGCAGGCTCCGCCAACTGCAACTAACAGAGTAGCTGAACACATCACTGAAACTGGACTGACCCCTGGAATGCAAGGATAGCTTGATGGGAGAACTCTACCCAAAACCACATCATGCGAATGATCTGAAGGAGACATAAGGCGTGGAGTTACCTCAATGCGGGAAAAGCAGTTCATAAAAAAACCACACTTACAATAAAGAAAAATTCTCAGAGAATTAGAAATAGAAACGCTTGATTTGATAGACTTTTCACAGCTCTCAGCATCCTTCCCAGATAAACTAAGATTACTCCCTGTAAGATCAAGATCAAGACAAGGATGCTCACTAAATCTGCTATTCAACAGACACCAGAAACCCAGTCACTGATATACAACAAGCAAAAAAATGACAGAAGGACATCAAGGAAAAAGATAAAACTGACGTTATTTGCAGATTTCAACTGACGCTGAGAAACTGCTGGAACCAGTAAAGCAAGTGAGCATCCCACCGCCCAGGTGGAGCCTCACCACCCTCACTCCAGAAGCTCCCAGTCCACGCAGGGAATCCTGCAGTAGCTCTCCATCATCTGGAAAGGTGACTTGTAAAGAGCAGTTTCTTTTGGCAGCGGCATCTTTCTCATCACATAAAACCTCAAGTGGACCCTGAGTGTGGGCACACGGAGTCACTCTGGCTGGAAGGAAGGGGAAAGGAAGGTGGAGAACCTGGGGGCCCCACTCCAAAAGTGCAGCAGTGTCTCAGACAATGCCCACATGCACCTGTGCAACCTCAAGGGCTCCAGAGGTGAGAACCTGCCAGCCAGGCTGCCAACCCAGTCTGGCGCCACCATAAGGTCTCCATTAGGAAAGACTCTCTCCAGCCACAAGCCAGAGGCCTAAGCTGGACTCTGGATGATCGCACAGAGCCTCCTTAGGGGCCAAGCCCAGGAGGCAGGGTGCCTAGGACAGCCCCAGGGCAAGACATTCTCTGGTGCCCAGGAACCCAAGACACTGAGAAATCTACAACATGCCACTCTTGAAAACAGGGTCCGTGAGCACTGCCGAGGGAACAGTCACACAGAGGGACACAAGCCCATGGGAGCTCTGCCCTACGACTCATGAAAGCCCTACTGGACAAAGTCCCAGAGGCACCCCGAGGGGAAAGTCCTGCATTGGCACCCAGCTCAAGCACCTGACTCAATAGAAGTCATGCCTGTCCTCCCTCTTAGGAGCTCCGCCAAGGCTGCAACTGACCAGGGCAGGGCTGGCCTGACCTACAGAAGACCAGAGATGGCCTTGGGAGCTGGCACCATCAGACGGCGGGGAGGCAAACGCTGGCCACATGCCTGTCTTCTGCAGAGGTATTGGCCACCTGGGGGTCCCCTTGCTTAGCATGATCCAAGATGCAGGGTCCCGGCCACTGTGCATGTCTGTGTGTGGTCAGAGCAAGAGATGGGAGCAGGCCTCCCTGCAGGGGAGGGTGTGAGACTCACGACAGCTCAAAGGTGCCCACAGACAGACTCAACATCTACAAAAGCCCCACACTGCCCTGATGGCAGGTGTCTATGCAGTAAGCTATACTGGGTTGGCCAAAAAGTTTGTTCTTGTTTTTCCATAATATCTTAACAGAAAAACCTGAATGAGCTTTTGGGCCAACCCAATACCTCAACAGAGTTGATCAGAGCCTGGGCTCTTCCATGAGAGCTCAGAGAGGGCCGTGCACCCTCCTCCCAGCTGCAGCTCAGGTGGCCACCAGGAACTTCCCAGAAGTGTCCAGCAGAGATGTCCAGGGCCCAACCACAAGGCCACAACATTTGTGAAGAGTGAGCAAACTCACCCTCTTCTGGCCAGCGATCGGATACAACAGGTGAGCTGCGGAACGCCTGGCTCAGGAGTAAAGGTGGCATGGCACAATCAAGGCCAAACCACCTTCACACCAAGGACGGTCAAACCCACCAGCCCAGCAGAAGGCGAGGTACCAGCTCTGGGAAGGATGGCTCTGTCGACTGTGACATGGCCACAGGGACACACAGGTTTGTCAAAACCCATCAACAGTACATCTAAAATGATGCCTCAAGAAAGTTAATTTCAAACAAAACAATGCCAAAACATCACTTCCCAGAGAAGATGAAAACGTACACAAGTGACCCTGCTGTACCCTAGGCTGACCAGCCACGAGGTCAGGTGCTGTCAGAAAAAAGGACCCCAGTGCCCAGCCCAGCTCACCCCTTACCGGCTCTGGCTCTGGCTGAGGCTCTTGGCCAGGCCTCGACTTCTTCGGCTTGGAGGGGCCTGCAGGGCTGGAGAAGGACTTTGGCAGTTTGGCTGAAGATGACATCAGAGGCCTCGCAGACCCGGAGGGGCCCCCCAGTCGCTGTCCCCCACCAGAGAAAGGAACAAAAGGGGCAGGTGGGGGCTCCTTCGAGATCTGCTTCGCCTGAGCATCCGCTGGTTTCGGGCCTAGGCCATCCACGCGGCTGGCACCCGGGCTCACTGACTCATCCTGACGGCTCACATCGCCCTGGCTGAGCCCTGCTGAATTCAGCGGGAGCAGAGGGCTGCTGGCTGCCTGGTCAGCCGACATGGAGGGGGTCGGGCTTCCTGGGCTTTTGCTCCAGGAGGCCCCAGGCTCCTGCTTGCTGGCAGAGTCACATCGCTTCATGGAAAACCTGAGTGGAGAGGCCCAGAAAGCAAGTGAAACTCCACACGTGGAGCCCTGGGTCTCACAGTGCCGCTCCCTGGCCTCTGATGACTACCAAACTGAACCCAGCGAACCGAAAGCACCCCACAGCCCTTCCCGACCCACCTCACCTCCCAGCGAAAGGAACGTGCACAGGATCACCATGTCAACCCTGCCAAGGGCAGATCCCCCACCTGACGCTGCCCAGCCCCCCAGGCTGCGGGCAGGAGAAGCCACCGGTGAGGGTCTGGGCTTCCCCATGTTTCCTGTTGCCTTTCCTGTGAAACCCCCGTTTTCTAAACCAGACTCAAAGACACGCCCCACCTGATGATCGCACTGCCCCCAGTAAGGCCCAGCGACTGCAGCGTTGTGCTCTGCAAGGCAGCTCTGCCGGTCACCTGTGAGGGGGTACAGGACATCCTGCTGACCCCGTGCTGATGAAGCTCCCCACCCACTGAGCCCACCACATGCTGCCTCCCCCAGCCTGGGCACTATGTCACCAGCATTGTGGGATCACCCTGCCGACCCCAGCACCCAAAAGGCCTGGGTCCAGCCCCTGCACCCCAATCTACACCTGAGCATTTGTCTGCTCATTCATGTCTGTCTCCCCAACCCCACCCCATCCAAGGTCTGGGTGGGCAGGGCTCGGGCCTGAGTTAGCCACATCTGGCCAGCTGATGAGCCCCGAGGGCCGGGACTGACCATCATGGCCTCAATCCAGGCCCAGGTACCCAAGGCCCAGCAGCCTCTCTCCTTCCGGGGAAGATGTCTCCCTCAGGCCCCTCCCACTCACAGCCCGGAACCCTCACCCAGCTGAGCCGTGGGTCAGGAACCTCAGGCTGGGATAAACAGGTGGGTGTGGCCCATCCCTACCAGGGGCCCCTCAGGGACAGTGGCCACCCCAAGCCAGGAAAGGGCGCTTGGCCAGGCGTGAAACAAAAGCCCCTGTGAGCCAGGGCGCTGAGCGCCAGGAGGGCCCCCCGTCACGGGCGGGCGGGCGGGGACAGCCAGGGCCTCAGTGCCAGGCCAAGCCTGCACCACGCCACACTCGGTTTTGAAAAAGATCAAAACATGGAGCAAAGCAAATATTTATTAAAATGAAACCACTTTTGTGACTCTTGGGCTTTGAGAGAAGCTGAGAAAACAAACAGGGCTCTGAGGGAGGTTTGGGAGCAGCCCGGGCGGCCCGCGGTTGGTTCCAGCGGAGCCGGCGTCCTGCCTTTTTTCCATGAAACACATCATGCTTTCAGGGCCCAAGTCTGCCCGTCGCTGCTTTGAAAGCAGGTCTGAGGGAGTGAATTTTCCAGATTGGAAAGTGGGGCTGGGCCTGTGTGGCAGCTAGGAGTGGGCGGCGGGGTGCGGGCCAGGCGGGCGGGTCCGCAGCTCACCTACCTCATCCCTCATGTACACGCAGACCGGGCTGGCCTCACACGGCTGCTCCAGACACTCCCTGTGAGGAGAGTGAAGAAAGCATCAAAGGCGGCCACTGCCCAGGGACACTGCTGCCCTCAGGACGGCACCCTGGCCAGCGCCATGGGGACCCGCCCACCCTGGCCGCCCCATGGCTGGCCATCAGCCTGGCGGAGTCTCCCACCCGCCCCTGGCCTCTGGGCTCAAAGCAGAGAGGACACGGAACAGGGGGCGGGCAGCACCTCCCGGATGTGCCTCACAGCTCTGGCAACTGTCCCTGCGGTCGGTGATGACAAGTCCTGGGGGACCGTGATCTGAGCTTTTATCTGAACCTGTCCCCTGAGCAGGTTGCTGCCACGAGAAACACCAGGATCACTTGGCACGATCACACGGACTCCAAGGAGAGAGTGGGGCAACCCCGGGACTAACAGGGAGGTGGGCAACAGGCCCGGCCACCAGTGCCCCTCCCCTGTAAAGCAGACCCCGAGACGGAAGGGAAGGGCCCTAGGGAAGCGTAGCTGGGCACACTGGAGGGTGGAGGGCATGTAGGTGCACAATTGGGCACATGCTCAGGACAGTCCACACCACTTGCACCAGCCTGTACCTCGATGGCCATCGAGGTTATAAGCACACGGTGGCCAAGTCCTGGCTTTGGATGGCTAAATTGCTGGTGGCAGGCCTGTGACAACCAACTCAAGTTCATTTCTTCATCTCTGCATCTCCTGACACATAACCGTAGAACCAGCCCCAAATAAAGGCCCATCCTAGACCCACCAGCAGTGCCCCAGGCCTGTCCCTCTCCTCCAGGAAGGGTGATGTGCAGGAAAGGCAGGAGACCTGAAGCCCTCTTAGGCCATGCAGCTCAGCCCAGCCGGGCGCCAGGGCTCAAACACAGAAGTGGCTGGGATGGGATTACACAGGTGCTGAGCTGGTAAATGTATGGACACTGGAACACTGCCTGGGCCCACCCCAGACCCATGACAGAGGACCCATGTCCTCTGGGTGGGTTCAGCATGTTTTCTCCCATCTCTCGTTTGCTTTCACATTTTACGGGGCCAGGCCTCAGGAAAACACAAGACCCCAAAGTGCCAGAGAGTCAGCCCTTGCCAGGCCCACACGTTCTTCATCCTGATGCCAAAACAGAGGAGCGAGGGAAGCTACTCCAGCAAACAAGATCCCAGGCCCAGAGAGGAAGAAGGAGGGGGAGATACGGGGATACTGCTCCTTTCAATGGCAACAGAGACGGCAGCTGCCCGGGCTCAGAAAGCTGGCTGACTGCCCATCGCAAGACCAACATAGCCCTCTCTGCTCCTGGAGTCTCTGGTCATGCATCCTCCCTCCAAAATCCTCGCCCATGGCACCTGAGGGCAGCCCAGGAACCGCAAATCACAAACAGGGACGAGAGCATGGCAGCACCCGGGAAGGTCTGCCTGTCTGCTTGCTGTCCTCAGAGGCCTCTGGACATCAAACAGCAGCCCGACTTTGATGTCGGCTCCTCCAGAGGGATCGGGTTCCCGCGTGTGGGATCTGAGAGGAGGCCCATAAACACACTGAGGGGAGTGGCAGCCGCGATCACTTCCAGACTTTCCTGGCCAATTAGCAGCGTTCTCGTGTCCAGCCGAGGACAGCGGACCAGGAGGTTCCAGTTCATTGGTGAGTTGAAGCCGCCACTCCCTGCCACAGGCCTCGCTGAAGATCCTCATTCTCAGAAGGAACTTTAGCAGGGCCCTCCCGGGGACCCCTGTGCCCCTGGAACTGCCCTCAGTTCCCCCAGCCCAGGCAGGGCCACTGGCCCAATGGGGTGGTGCTGGGGAGGATCTTGCTTCATCTGAGGCCAGCACACCTGCTCCTGGGGCTGGGCCAAGGGCCAAGGGGCTGGCCAGGCAAGGCCAAGGCCCTGCCGTCCTTCACCCACCGCAGAGAGTGCTAGTCTACAGACGCGGGCTCCCAGGGAGGTGACGCTGTGAATGGGGGGCAAGGCGGTTTATCTGGAGCCTCTTCTGCTTCTGTCACCTGTTTGGGCCTGACCAAGTGGGGCTGGTACAAACTCAGCTGCCTCTGACACAAGGCTGGCATCACAACACTCCCATGCAAGAATAACCAAAACTGACAGAAACCAACCCAAACTAACAGAGCCGTGCCAGCAGGCTCAGAGGGGCCCCTGAGGCCGCTAGAAGGCCCAAGGGTGGGCGAGGCTACGTCCTGAGGGGCCAGGTGACCCACACCCACCACACTCAGCAACCCAGCCCATAGAGAGATGAGGTTAGCGCCAGATGGACCAAGAAGGATGAGGACTGGCCAAATCACAGGGATTCCTTCCCCTGAGCAGACAGAACGGGTAGTTTCGAGAGCAAAGCGGCCTCTGGCCTTTCCAAACAAGGCTGGGGGTGAGGAGGGAGGCCCGCCTGAGACCACTGAATGAATAGCCTAGGATCTATGCCTCATGCTAACCGCCCACAAGGCCCTGGGTCTGGGCTCTGCGTGACCACGGCTGGTCCCTAACCTCACAGGCAGCCCTTCCCTGCAGCCCGTGGTGCCGTGGGGGCAGCACAACCCCAAGAGAACAGGCAGATGGCCTGTCTTTCCCAAGGACTCCTGAGTCCCTGCTCTTACTATCCACAGGGTGAACATGGCTGAGATGGACCAGCAGGCTCAGCCATGAAATCAGGCCCGGTGCCCAGGGGCAATGGGCTCAAAGGGAGAATCGAGCCTGCACGGCACGCCTGGAGCCTCCCTGCAGCAGACGCCTGGGAAGCAGAGAGGAGGACGGGCCAGCCCACATGGAGCCAGTACCATCCTCGTGGCTCCCAGTCCACACGGGTGCTAGCACTCACAGGGCAGCTGGCCCAGAGGGAGGCCAGCTCCAAGTGTGAGACACGCCGAATTTCAAAGACCTCCTACCAATGAAGAATGTAAAATATCTCCTTTTTCCTGTTGATTACATGTTCAGAGGACAATATTTTGGATATACTGAGTCAAGTTAATTATATTCCTAAAATTAATTGCCCCTGTTTTTACTTTTCTTTGATGTGGCTACCAGAAAATTCTGAATTACCTCCTTGTCCCGCACGTGTGGCCCACATGGCACATCCAGTGGACAGTCTGTCGCTCTAGATGCTGGTGTCAGGGCCAGGCCACTGTCCACCGTGATCCCCAAGCAGAGGACCCACCGCCCGACCCACAGTGGACCCGGGATGCCAAGTTCACACCTGCACGGCGCCAGTCACTCAGGGACGCTTACCACTTCGCGAAAGCGTCAAGTGAGAAAAACCAACTTCCTGCTTGTCCCACTCTTGGGCACACAGAGACAGAATTCCCAGAGGCGCCCACCCCCTAGCCAGTGAGGGAATTGCTGTCAGCCAGCTGGAGCTCCCTCACTGCACTGGACCTGTCAGGCGGACGCCCCCTACTCTGTCAGCAGGGCCCTCTTGTGGCCCCAGCGTGACCTCACCAGTTCACTGGGCATTTGGCCATGGCTTTGGAGCCGAAGCCGCCACCCACCCTCCCACATCTGAACCCTGCTTCAGTTAGTGAATGCCAGCTTCCAAGCAAAGGCCCAGATCTGCACTTTTGGAGACGAAGCCTTGGCAAGTCCCACCTACAGGTCCAGCAATTCTGCCTCCAGAGTAGATCTCAGAGCGGAGCAGTCAGCAGTTTGCTCAGAGAGGGCACATGGTACATGGGTGACCCTGTGTGTCTAAAAATGGCTCTGTTTCATCCTCATCCCCCGAACCATCTAGCAAAACAGAGAATTCTAGAACAAATGCATTTCTTACAGTGTTCTGAAGGCACTGTGCAGCCAACATCCTGGTGCTACCAAGAGGAGCCCGAGCCCGCAAGCCCCCTGAGGGTGCGGAACTATCCCCGCATCCCCAGCTCCTGACAAGTCACAGCGATGCCACCAGATGGGATTCTACTGGCCCAGGCACAGCCAGCCTGTCACTCGGAAAAGCACGCCCTTTGGTTCCAGGACCACTTCCCACCAGCTTCCTCCTGGGCTTCCGTTTTCTTTCTAGAGTTGAGGCAGCAGGAGCTGGCAGGCTGGCCTGTCCGGACTCCCCATCCTCTGGCCTCTGTGCTCGTGCCTGGCGGCTTGGCTCTGTGGCTCCTCCCAGGTGGAGACAGGGCAGGGATTCTGCACCCCAGGTCCAAGGTCTGCTCCCACGCCTCCGTGGCCCCATGTGCCCTCAGGCATCTGCTACCATGAGAAGAATGCGCTCCGGCAGGCCACAGATCAGCCAGACCAGCTAACCCTCAGGTGCCTCAGCAGAACAGCAGGCCCCCAGTCCACCAGCACTCCCAGACACGCAGCACACTGGCATGTGTGTCTGGGATCTTGCCATCTGATCCACAGCTGTGGCTGACCCCAGCACCTTCTACTGTGGCTTGCTGATCTGCTTCTGAGAGTTCTTGTTTCTGAACCCTCCTTTTTAATGGCATCCAGCAACCCAGTTCCAACAGCCTCTCCATCCTCCGAGAAAAGGAACAAGTGCTCTTGCCTGTCCTGACAGCTGCTGTCCCTTCCTATTTGCACTGGACTCTCATGTCAAGCTCACTCAAATGTCTGGGCACCTTGGCTGTGAGCTCCCAATTACACTGGGGCTCTGGCCACAGTGCGACTGGCTGTCAGTAACCAGGTGGTGATCTGAGGAGCCACCCATGCCCCCAACACTAGGAGCCTCCAGAATTCTCACGCTCACCTATCCCCATTCTTGGGATAGTGCGGGCAGAGCCCCACCCTACCCAGGGAACCACCTCCAGCATCAGCAGTATGGAGTCTGCAGGGATCTAGGACCTCACCTCCTCCTCCAGCGCCTGCCGTGGCCACCCCTGCCACGTCCCCTTGTCACCCTCCACACCCTGTCACCGTGAGGACCCCACCCAGAGTCCCCTCTTCCACAGAGACAAACCTAGTTCTTGGCACTTTGAAAAATATCAACTCATCTCATCATCATATCACCCTTGGGAGGCCCCGAGAGGGCAAACAACTTGCCCAAGGCCACACAACAACCACTGTATCCTTCCATTGTCCCTTCCATTCTATGGCTGGAGACCTTTAAAAGTGGACAAAGACTTCCACCCCACAAAGGAAAATCAGAACTTAAAAGACTACCATTTTGACACTTTCAGAAACAAAGTTTAAACAAAGTCAGATAGAAACTGACCCATGGCAACTGTCATTATAGTGTTTTCTCTAAACACAGCCCATTCTCATGACAAGGGAGTTTTATAGCTGCAGCATTTGTCAGCTAAGAAGCACAGCACCCTACTTCTCTATTCAATGCTCACCACACCAGAAGGGGTCTCTTGGTTCCCCCACAAGCTCTTCCAGGAGGGCAAGGCCCGGCTATCACACCACAACATCCAGTAAAGACAGATGAGCTACTGGTATAGATCGAAGGTGGTACCAGCAGCAGCTGGTGGAGGCCGAAGCACAGCTCATGCTTGCGGCTCTGGATCAACCCCAGTGATTGCGGCAACATCCCCACAGCGGAGGAAGGCACGGCCCAGAACCTGCTCATCAGCACTTACCTGATCTGGGAAAAGTGGCAGAGAAGCTCCCAGAGCGACTGGCCCGAGCAGAAAGTGTCTTGCAACCTAGAGCCATCGTCTAACTGCAGAGCGATGCGCACCTAAGGGGTGAGACGTCGGAGCCAGGTCAGGAAGAGGAGCACTGCCCTGGCTGGACCCCGCCCAGGTCCGGTCCTCAGGGCACAGGCGGAGGGCACTGTGTTTGCTGAATTTTTTTTAAATAAGTGAGCACACTGTTTTATGAGATGCTTTTGACAATTATCTCCCAAAATAGGGACACAAGTCTATAACCCACAAGGGGGATAAATTCTCTGGTCCCTCTGTCAAGTAACAGACACACTAAAGCACAAAGTCCCCAGGTGAGGACCTTGCTTAGCCCATTGCCACAGTACAGTGACTCTCAGGTCACTGCTACCCTTGCCCTTCTGGCCAAGGGGCTCCTCCAGGGCACGTTTATCTACATTGTATGTGTCAGTCGCTCAGTTGGGTCCGATCTGCGACCCCATGGACGGTACCCCACCAGGCTCCTCTGTCCAAGGGATTCTCCAGGCAAGAGTACTGGAGTGGGTTGCCATTATTCACATGAAATCCCAGTAAAAGACAAAGGAGAAACCACTCTGTGGGAAAGCGTGAGGGGGTCTCCAGCCACGCCCAAGGAATCCCCTGGGGAAGTCAGGGTTCCGTCCATACCAAAGGCTGAGAACCACAACTGTAATGGAAAAAGAAGTCTATCGGGCTCAGTGGGCTCTAGACAGAGAACTAACACCCCTGAGGCTAGTAGCCTCATCTCTCAACCAGGATGAAAACTGCTTCCCTGCAGTGTTGGGAGGATTTGCACTTTCGTTCGTAAAGGACCTGCCTGGGCACAAGAGGACAGCTATCACCATGATTCTTGTCTCTGTCCATAGTAATCCTACTACCATCTGCTAAATCCCTAGGAAGCAAAAATTGCAGATTTGGTAGAACGCAGGGAGCTGCGGTCGGAAGACTCAGGCTGTGCTCTGGCTGCGCCCGGTCAGAGGAAGCCTGCGGCTCAGCCTGTGTGTCCTCATCCCAGAACTGAGGCTGTACTGGATGCCGCACAGAGAGTCCTGCCGACTCCAAGATTCTTGGCGATATTCTATGGTGAATGCCGCCAGCATGCCGACATGGACACAGCACAATTAACCGCCCCCACCCCAAAACACATTCAGCACAAAGAATGAAAAGTCTCATTTCCAATCATCAGTTTTTGGAATAGAAAAGTGGCTGTCGCCTGACCGAGAGAAGCCAGTCTCACCCAAGGATGGGGACGAGTACCTCGTGTGCACAGCCCACGCTCCCCACCCCATCTGCTCGGCCCAAGTAGTCTAGACAGAAGAGCTGGGAGGTGCACTGCTGCCCCGAGAGCCACCTACCATGTTCTCAGGCCCCTCACGGCTCCGGGAGATGGGCACCATCTCCAGCTTGGCATTGTTGGGTAGGTTGGCGAATCGCCACTGGAGAGAGAGGTCAAGCACATTCCTCTGAAACCTGCAAAACAGATCAAAGCCTCAAGCTGCCCCCTGACCCGAACACAGCCCAGCACTGCCAGGAGCAGGGTATGAGCAGACGCCCATGTCTGGCCAGCACTTCTACAATCCCTGGCGGCAGAGCTGCAAGAACTGAGGGATGGCCTGAGAGCCTGCAAAGACAGGGTGGGTCCCTGACTCCAGTAGTGGGTCTTCTGAAGGAAAGAGTGAGCTCTGCAGGTCTTCTGAAGGAAAGAGAGTGAGCACTGATACAATTCGAGCAAGAACAGTGAGAACACAGACAGGTCACCCCTGGGGCAAAGCAAGCGCCTGCTCCCTCAGACCATGAAGCAGTGATCAGTCCAACTACAAACTCAGAAGATGAAAGCACACATGGGCACGACCGAAGGGCATGCACCTTGCTCTGCACAGAAAAGTTCCTACGGAACAAAGCCCTGTTGCTACTGCCCGGAGCTGCAGCACTCCATCCACTGCAGCCACTCCCCTGTACTGCAAGCCACCGGCCAAAATGACCTGCTCCCGTCCCCCCTGCTTCCTGCCATCCTTGGAAGCAGGACCAACCCCAAAGACCAGTGACAGAGGCAAAGGTTTTAGAGAATCACAAATGGAATGACCTGATCTAAAGTCCCCATGGAGAGCCAGGCCCTCACAGTAGCTGGAATATGGGGATAAAAGGCTGAGACCACCATCTCTGGCTCACAAAGCCAGGTCTTCCAACCCTGGAGCAGCCCATCGTCTTTCTGTCCATGACCTGCATGTTTTAGAGCTGGGGACCTGGCAACTTACAGCCTCCAACAGATGAGGAAGAGGACTGCATGGGCCCACAGCCTCCTCTGACCCTCATGTACAGAGCTCCTGGATGCAAGGAAGGATGGTTCCTGGAAGGAACTGGTGGGAGCAAAGTGAACTGGTGAGTCAGGAGGGAAATACCCACGGCCAAGAGGACAGGTAGGGAATCCAGCGACCTCCGAGACACCTGCTGGTCTCGACTGCCAGCCAGCCCTCCTGGGAAGCATGGCCAGGGTTGTGATCAGCCTGCTTCACAAACAGGAAACCCAGATGTGAAGTACCTACAGGTAGCCCAGGCCACCCAAAGGCAGTGCTAGGACCACACTGTACAGCTCCTGATATCCAGCTCAGATCTCATCTCATCTGGGGACTGAAAGAGAGTCAGATACCCACACCTGACAAGAGGAGGGATAGAAAGGGGCTTGGGACTTGGAGGCCTAGACACTGTCTCACCTGGGTGAGGGCAGGAGTGTGGCAGCCAGGTGGCCCTGGAGCTTGCATGACCCTGGGCCCTCTCCTCCTGACCCTCTCTGCTCCCACGAATGCTATGGAAAGGAGAACCACCACTGTTAACCCTACAGATCACTTGGGAGTGAGGAAAGCTCTTGCCCGTAACAGAAAACAGTACTGCCATGTGGCCATGATTTTATAAGACACAGACAGCAGCCAGAATGAATCACCAGAAGAATGAATAAGAGAACTTATTTATGCCTCTCAGAAGTCAAACCATGAGCTCCATTTTTAATGAAAGTTTAGGGGGAGAAGGGGAACTACAGCACTGGCAAGAGAATATGAGATTTGAACACACAAGAAAGTGATCACCCGGCAGCATGAAAACCAAGATGCCTTTGGAAACAATGGTTTTCTGAACATGCAAAGGGCGTCTGGAAGACCTAGGAGAGAAAGAACTTTGATACCCATCTTCAACACTTTAGAAATTGCCACACAACAACTTCAACGTTAAGTGCAAGACAGGACAGCAGAGCTAAGGAAAACTCGAGAAGGGAGGTATTCGGAGCCCTGGAGATGAGGGGAAGGGGCCTCATGAAGTACACACATGCACGTGGGCAAGAGGCTGCCTTCCCTGGCAGGAGCAGCAGTTTTTAAACAAATTATACAGCCAGTAGATACAAAGAAAACAAGAGAAAAATCAATACATGTTGTAAGAGTCCAACCAGGCACCACATGGAAATCGCAGGCAGGTTCAGGGAGAGCAAAGAAAGAGAACATAGCTCTGTGACAGGATGCCAGGGGAAGACCCAGTACAGGCCTTGGGATTCTCCGTGGCTGGGCAGGAGACAGGGATCTGGGATGACACAAAGGCATGCGTGCTCAGACCTCCTCTATAGAGCCCCATGTGAGAGGCAGCGCAAGCCAGGTCTAGCAGAGCAGTCTCCCACACCTTGGGCTCCTGTCTACCCCTGATGGGAGGACAGCCATACTGTGAAGGATATGCTGCTAAGGTAGGAAGCTCCCCATACGCGACAGAAATCCATACCCACTCGTGTGGGGTTTTGACTCTTTCACTGCCCTAGATCTCACAATCTGGTGAAAGCCCTCTCTTTGGAAAAATGCCTGCACACGAAGACTGGTGCACAGCTCCAGGACCTGAGGCCACCAGAAGCCACCTGCAGTTTGCAGGTTTCTTCCCATTTCTCCATAATCACCTCTTCTTGCCCTCAAGAGCCCCACCAGGAACTTACACAACCTAAGGCCCAAAGACCTCTGCCGTGGTTGGAATGATGGCCCCTAAAAAGATATATCCATAGCCAAACCCCCAGAACTCATGAATGTAACCTTATTTGGAGACAGGACCTTTGCAGATGTAATTAAGAATCTCAAGATAAGGTCATCCTGGGTTATCTGCTAGGCCCTAAATTCAGAGACAAGTGCCCTGATAAGAGACAGAGGAGGAGAGACACACACACACAAGGATCAGGGAGGCAGAGGCGAGAGGGAGGCAACCACAAGCCCAGGACACCTGGAGTCCCCCAAAGCTGAAAGAGGTAACACAGCAGACTCGCCTAGATCTCTGGAGGGGACGCAGCCCCACCAACCCCATCATCAGGGGTTTCTGGCTTCCAGGGGGTGACAGAATAAACCCATGTGGGCTGAAGCCCCAGCAGGGCCCTGGGTGAAGGGTGGATTATGGATTTGGAGCCCGTGGCCTGGCCAGGGCAAACTCACTTCAGGTCGTACTCGTTGGGGTTGAAGTCCTGCCGACGGCACGTGTCCTCCAGGACCTAAGGGTGAGATGAGGGTGTGAGCCACTGTGTCAGGCCTGGTCGCCCCAAGCGGGGGCAGGCAAGTACCACTGAGGCAGCTGAGGGCACAGAGTCCACCTCTTGCAGAGCCTATAATACTCAGCAGCTCCACACACCTCACCTGAAAATCCTGCTTACTCTCTCCTCACTGGGCCTGCTGTGTCAACTCAGCTCTGCGGGACCGGGCCCTCAACAACTGGCCGCCACAGGTATCTTCCTACACACTCAGGGACGCCCCTCCACTCCCAGAGAATAATGTTCAGACTCCAAAGAGAGCCAGCTCAAGGAGGTCCTGGGTTCCCCACTCGACGGAAGCCCCTCTTTCATCATGCTCTGCACACACTGAGTTTCCATTCATCAGCTCAGCCCCCTTCCCCACCGTGTCTTCGCGCCGGCTCCTACATAACAGAGCCCAACAAGCATTTCCAACATAACGGGTTCGACATGGGCCAGCTGCCGGGTTAAGACCAGCAAGTGACTCAGCACACGCCGCCACAGCGCACCGAGCCGGAGGGTGACCCCAGAGTGGAGACATGGGGCCGGGACCTTCGGAGTTGGGCTCGGAGCGCCGCGTGCTCAGATGGGGGTAGTGGGGACCGCGACCCCAGGAATCCCCTCAAGGAGGCTAGCCAGCCCCCATCCCCGTGCGCCCGGAGCCCCGACGCGGAAGAGGGCGGGCCCGCCGCGCCTTGAGGCCGTTCATTGGCCGCAACAGGCCCCGCCCCAAGGTTCCCTCCCGGCCCCGCCCCCGCGGCCCTCGCAGCAACCGCAGGAGCGGCCGGCGCCACGTCCCCGCCGCCGCGTCTCCGCCTTCCTCTCGCCCGCCGCCCGCCCGCGGCCGCACCTGCAGCAGCACGGTGCTCGGCGTCACCTTCACCGTGTGGCGCCGCCCGTTCGGTGCCAGCACCGACACCGCGGAGCCCCCGCCGCCTGCCGGGGCCGCCATCTTCCGCTCACGTGACCCGCCGCCCGCCTGCCCGGCGTCAAACAACTTTATCCGCAACAGCCGGACGCACAGCCTCGCGGCTTCGGGGGCGGGGCCTGGGGCGGGGCGGGGCCAGCGCGCCTCCGGACCCGCCCCTTCATGGCCACGCCCCCACCCCCGAGCGCGCGCCCGACACCTGAGCGCGGTCACAGCAGCCGGGCCAGGTGGCCCTGGGTCTGGGCTGGGGGTGCCCTGGGCTCCTTATCCCCTCCGGCCCGTCTTGGGTCCCACTGCCCCCTTTCCTGCCCCCTATGGTCCTCAGGGGTGAAGTCAGGTTTCCGCACCTCTGTGGAGTGAATGCCTGCCGGCCATGGGGTGGTGTGAAAGTCTGGGAGCAGCTTTGGGGAAGAGCCCGCCGGAAACTCCAAATCAGAGAGCAGATTCGGTGAAAAGTCTGCGACGAGAATTCTGACTCTCCGTGCTCTCACTGCCCTATGACAGAACTTGTCCTCCGATTCCAGCTGCCCAAGTCAGTGGAAGGTACGGGGAGGAGGGGCATGTGGATCCTGCCACCTCTCAGGAGCGGGTTCTGCAACGCGCCTTCATGTAGCTGACACATTCGTCTCACCAGCAGCCTCATACTGACAGCATGTGTATGCGAGAAAACGGGAAAGCTTCAGGGTAGCCACAGCTCCAGGACCACCCTTCACAGTTTGCTTTACAGTCCCACTGGACTGACTGTGCAACCTCAGTGCCTCACCCGGCCCACACATCGGTGACTATCGGCCAGTCCCCTCTGGGGAGAGGAGCCGCACGGGATACAGGGCAGAGAAGTTTTCTGGCTCAGAGTCAGCTTCTGTTGACCTGCTCCTCCCCTTCCCACCTGCTCACAGGGGTCTCACCCTCCTTGTGTAGCTGAGTACACAAGACCTTGGAACAGACTCCTGGGGGGCACTTCTGATCACTGCCTGCAAGCTCTCTAACCCACCCTTTAGCCTGCCAGGGCCCCACATGCAGTTCTGTGGCAGCCAGGTCCCTAGTTGCCCCCAACCTGGCCTCTTCAGCACTGCAGGGTTTCCTCAGAGCCCCATCTGCTGGGACAGGCCTTTCGTGCCTGCTCACTTGTTTACTGGCTGTCTCCACCCAGGGCAGCCCTGTCTGCCTGGCTATCCAGTGGCAGGCACGCAGAGCAGAGTCTCACATGGGGTGGGAGTTCTGCAAACATCTGTGAGAGGAATGACTATTGATGGGGAGACAAACGTATGCGCAGTCCCCCCACATGTGCTTTCTCTGGCTGCTGCCGCCCACCAGGCAGATCAGGGTGCTCCATGCTCCATGGGGTCTGTGTCCTGGTGCTGGCATTAGGAGATGGGAGAGACAGAGCAGACCTGCCTCCCTTAGTAGCCTGGCTGGGCGTGACCTTTTGAAGACCTAGTACGACAGACCAGCGTCTGTGAGGCATCCATGAAGCAAGCCCTGGAGCCAACCCCTTGATGCTGAACACAGCTTGAGAAGCCTCCAGAGGCAGGAAATGCCCAGCAGAGGCTCCCCTGGGACAAGGGATAATTTCAGGCCAGGGGCAAAAATTCAGGTTGACATACCAGCTCCACACCACAGCAGGAAGGACCCTCACCTGTTTTGTGGCAAGTTTGCCACAGATTAGAACTCACAAGCCTGAGTTAGACCTCCTCCATTAGAACTCCTCCATTTGCTCCATGGGGAGGCTGCCTCCTTGGGCTTGCCTTCCTGAGCTCCTCACTGCAACTTGGCACCTTCCCTCATGGCCTCAAGACCTCCTACAGGGGGTCTGGTTACAGCCTTGAGAGTGTAATCACAACAGAGGTCACAGAGATGACTGTGGGGTCAAAGATTATCTTTGGGAAGCATGCAAGGTCCTAAAGGGGAGTCCTTTCTTGGTGCTCATAGTTCAGTCTCTTTTTGCAGCTCTTATTTTTTCTTTCCAAATTTGCCACTTAAAAAAATGACATATCTGTACATTAACATTCACAACAGCTTTATCTAATAGTCAAAAGCTGGAATGAACTTAAATGTCCTTCAACAATGCAGCACATCCACATGCAGAGCTCTGCTCAGCAATCAAGGGAATGAATACTGACTCTGTAACCTGGGTGAGTCACGCTGAGTGAAAAGAGCTTGTTCTGAAATTTCTTGGTTAAGAAATTTGGTTTGACTTGGTTAAGACTCCACACTTCCACTGCACAGGGTGCGGATTCTATCCTTGGTTGGGGAATTTCTGCATGCTGCATCATGTGGCAAAAAAAAAGAGAGAGCTCGTCTCCAAAGGCTGCACATTGTATGATAGCATCATGGAAATGACAGTGTTTGCCTTTTTCTCTCTGCATTAATATGTGCATACGTATTTATATTTTAAAGTAAGTTGATGAGGGACTTCTCCAGTGGGCCAGTGGTTAAAGAATCCACCTTGAAATGCAGGGGGATGCAGGTTCACTCCCTGGTCAGCAAACTTAAGATCCCACATGCTCCTGAGCACTGCAGTCACTGAGCTCTGGAGCCCATGTGCCACAACGAAAGATCCTACATGATGCAACTGACCCGACACAGCCGAGTAAATAAGTGAATACTTTAAAAAGGAAAGTAAGTTGATGATATCTAGGCCCTTTCTCCCCAAATACTGCAGCAGCTCCTCCTAAGAACTAGGACCTTCTCCTGTTTAATCATAACCCATCACCACATGCAACAACCATGGATATAATGATATTATCTAATGATATATCTACACAGTCCACGTTAGAATTTCCCTGGTCCCAAAATGGTCCTTTATAGCTGGTTGTCACATTGCATTTGGTTGTTGGGCCTGTTTACACTCCTTTAATCTACCACAGTCCTGGGAATTCCCTGGTGGTCCAGTGGTTAGGACTCTGCACTTTCACTGCTGAGGGCATGGGTTTGATCCCTGGTTAGGGAATTAAGATCCCACAAGCTATGTGGCACAGCCAAAAATAATAATAATAACCACAGTGCCTCTGTTTTTTGTTTTGTTTCTATTTTTCATGACATTCACATATTTTAGAGCCCACAGGCTGGATCTGCATGATCTTTTCCTGGAGTTAAACATTCAGGGCGGTGAGGCGGTGTAGATGACAGCACTCAGGAGCTCCAGGATTTCAGTTTGTCCCGTCAGTAAGGATGCAAAGACTGAACCTCCCCGTTCCAGGCCCCTTGTAAACTGAATAAGCTGTGTGTGGAGGTAATTCTTTGAGAGCACAAATAGGACGTTTTTCTAAGAACAATTGACCTAGTGGTTTTAGCACCAATTGGTGGTCCTTGCCTGAATCCATCATTACATTTATGGTGCAAAATCACACTCTTCCAACCTTATCATTTCCTCTATATTTAACAGGCATTTTCTGATTAAGAATTTTTTAAAACTCCTAAATGTTAATATGAATGCATGGATTCTTTTTCTTCATTTATTCTTTTGATGCTAAAATTTGATCCAAATTTGACCAGTTAGATCCTCTGTTCAAGCTGGCTCCTGTGCTTGTTTGGGGAGGGGAGGACAGTGACTTTTTATTTTCATATTTCAAACTTAGAAGTTGCAAGAACAGTACAGAAACTAACTCCTGCTTGCATTTGTTTACATGTTGCGCCATTTGTTTACATGTTGCCCTAGATGCACTGTTTGTTTACATGTTGCCCCTTTGCTTCATTATTATCATTTCTATGTATATTTTTTTCTCTCTTTGTCACTATGTGTATATACATCTTTTTTTTTTTTCTTCTGAAACCATCTGAGAGTAAGGGGACATTGTACACCTTTGCCACTAAATACCTCAGTATGTATTTCTGAAGAAGAAGGGCCACTGTTACTTCACCACCAAACTATGATACAACATTGGGAGATCTGTAATTGATATAAGAATCTGAGCTACTCTGCAGTCACCTATAACACTCACACCTTTCCTGAATCTTTTTGATGTTTCTGTTGTTCTCTGAGCACTTCCTCACTTCAGCCACAAGAAGGTGTCTTAAGCTTACCCAGGATGTCCCTGCCCCAGCCCTGAATGCCATTTCCCAAGGAAGCCCTAGTCTCTGTTAGAGGGGAGTGGGATTTAGCAACCAAGGTCTGGAGTTGAGCGTGTTCATTGCTACTGGGATGCTTTGTAGGCCCCTTAGGAGACAGAGCTAGCATCCTGAATTCACCACCCCTCAGTCTTCCTCTTCTTCCCTCCTTCCATATTTATACTTGGTTGAACTGTATGACAGACTGGTTCCAAACAGGAAAAGGAGTACATCAAGGCTGTATATTGTCACCCTGCTTATTTAACTTATATGCAGAGTACATCATGAGAAACACTGGATTGGAGGAAGCACAAACTGGAATCAAGATTGCCGGGGGAAATATCAATAACCTCAGATATGCAGGTGACACCACCCTAATGGCAGAAAGTGAAGAAGAACTAAAGAGCCTCTTGATGAAAGTGAACGAGGAGAGTGAAAAAGTTGGCTTAAAGCTCAACATTCAGAAAACTTAAGATCGTGGCATCTGGTCCCATCACCTCATGGCAAATAGATGGGAAACAATGGAAACAGTGGCTGACTATTTTGGGGGGCTCCAAAATCACTGCAGATGGTGACTGCAGCCACAAAATTAAAAGACACTTGCTCCTTGGAGGGAAAGTTATGACCAACCTAGACAGCATATTAAAAAGCAGAGACATTACTTTACCAACAAATGCCCATCTAGTCAAGGCTATGTTTTTTTCAGTAGTCATGTATGGATGTGAATGTTGGACTATAAAGAAAGCTGAGCACCAAAGAATTGATGCTTTTGAACTGTGGTGTTGGAGAAGACTCTTGAGAGTCCCTTGGACTGCAAGGAGATCCAACCAGTCCATCCTAAAGGAGATCAGTCCTGGGTGTTCATTGGAAGGACTGATGTTGAAGCTGAAACTCCAATACTTTGGCCACCTGATGCGAAGAGCTGACTCATTTGAAAAGACCCTGATGCTGGGAAATATTGAAGGCAGGAGGAGAAG